AGTCTTCGGAGCCATGGTCTGGTCGCCAGCAGCGTCAGCTCTCTTCCATATCCGAGTATACCACTGACATTCAGCACGTGGCCGGAAAGGACAACTTCGTCACCGACTGCCTCACCCAGGTGGTCACTGGTTCCGTCCACTTGGGCCTTGACTATGCAGCTATGGCTAAGGATCAGACCGTGGACTCTGAGGTGCAAGGCTACAGGACTGCTCCCACGGCGCTGCTCATGGAGGATGTGGTGTTTGACACGGCCAACGCTACACTCCTCTGCAACGTCTCTACTGGCCAACCGCGCCCCATGGTACCTGCTAGCTGGAGGCGTAAGGTGTTTGACGCTATACACGGCCTTTCCCACCCGGGGGTGAAGGCCTCGACCAAGCTGGTGGGGGCAAAGTTCGTCTGGCCGGGCCTGCGGAGGGACGTCAGGGCCTGGGCTGCTGCCTGTGTGGCGTGCCAGCGCGCAAAGGTGACTCGTCATACCAAGGCCCCTTTGGCACCCTTCAAAGTGCCAGAGAGGCGTTTTGATCATGTGAATTTGGACCTAGTGGGCCCACTTCCCCCCTCCCGTGGTTACACCTACCTCCTCACTATGGTGGACAGGACCACCAGGTGGCCAGAAGTGGTGCCCCTGGCCTCCACTACATCAGATGAGGTGGCCCGGGCGTTCATTATGGCTTGGGTGGCCCGTTTCGGTACACCGTTTGACCTCTCCTCGGACCGGGGTCCGCAGTTTACATCGGAGCTTTGGACTGCGGTCTCCGAGGTCCTGGGGTTGAAGGTCCACCGTACCACAGCCTATAACCCACAGAGCAACGGACTTTGCTAGCGGTTTCATCGGGACATGAAGGCTGCACTCCGGGCCAGCCTCACGGGCAGCGACTGGGCTGACCGCCTCCCATGGGTTATGCTTGGCCTTCGCTCCGCCCCTAAGGAAGATCTTCAAGCTTCATCGGCCGAGCTGGTGTACGGCCAGCCTCTGCGCATCCCGGGGGAGTTTCTTCCAGATGCCACGGCCCCTTGGTCGGTTGCCTCCCATCGTGCTGTGTCTCGGGACATTGCCGACGCTTTCGTTCCCATTCCAACGTCGCACCATGGCCTCCCTCGGTCCTACGTGCCCAAGGATTTACCGTCAGCCAAGTATGTCTTCATCCGCCACGATGGCCATCGTACTCCGCTGCGGCCCCCCTATGATGCGCCCTTCCGTGTCCTGACGAGGGGGTCTAAGAACTTTGTGGTGGATATGGGAGGCAGGCCTGAGCGGGTGGCTATAGACCGAATCAAGCCTGCTCATGTGGATATTGGCGAACCGCTGCAGTTGGCCCTGCCCCACGGCGAGGGCGCCCCCCTGCAGCAGCCTCGCACCGTGCGCCTGCCCTGCCCCTTGCCCCTCTCCTGTTAAGCGCAGCCGGTTTTGCCCCCCGGTCCGCCCCCCATACATTGACTTTTCATAGGGACTGTTATGAGCTGGGTTGTTCTGTTTGGCACTATGGAGTAGTGTCCTATGTTTTTTTGGGGGTACCTGTTCGGTCTGGACTTGTTTATGGGTGAATTCTGGGGGGGCCTGTGTGGTGACCCACAAATAAGAGACATTCACTAAGGAACTATACCTTTAAGGGAAACCAAAAATAAAGTTCCGGTTAACGTTGTGTTGTTGTGTCGATCTCACTGCTAGACAGTTCTGATATATTCAAGTGGAGAGTAAAGCTGACTCGACGCATCTCCGTCTCGTCTCCTCATTTATTGCACTCCACAGAATCAAATTTTTTTTTTTTAAAGCGAAGTCTGTAAGGTTTAGTCTAATGTGATAGTTTTATATTAACTAACATTTTCAGGAAAAAGAAAATCATCTCCGGGTCAAAATGACCCGAACACAACATAAGGAAAAGGGGGTTTGAAAAGAGGTTTGATGATGTATTGACATTATTTAAATACATTTTGTATAAAAAAAGTTACAGTGTACCTTTAAATGCTTCATAATGTCAATAAAAAGAAAACATTCAGGTAGTGCTGAATTCATTTATTTGACTCGAACAGCTTTTGACATTAGTATATCACTCCATGAAATTGCATCGATGAACACGTGAAATAATTACAGCTACAGGAACTACAAACTCTCCGGTCCTTCAGTGAGACATTCCCCCCGAAAAAACCTCAATCTGCCATCTGAACAAGTTGAAGGAGAAGCAAACATATGAGATATGAGATGTTGAACTGATCTGCATTACTACAGCAACTATTAATGTCTGTATAAGCTGTCTTTATACAAGCATGAGAGCAGGCTGATCATGACATGAGCATCAGACTGTGGACTGGCTGTTGTCATGTGAATGTCTTTTTTTTTTTTTACAAACCATTTAGAACTCAGAGCTGAGGAAAGACTGAAGCAGGGCTGTTGGATCAGTGTGACAAGATTTTTTAAGATGTGCAAATGAATGTTTTAAGAGAAATTCATTTGAAAATGAATATTATGGGTTTATACTTCAAACATTTAAATAAAGCAAATTAACAGAATATGAAACTTGATAGAGAAACAACGTTTACATCGACATGTCGTCCACTCAGAGGTAAGGCTTCATCTAAAATATGACAGTAAATAGAACCATGAACAAACACATCAACATTCAATAATTGTTTACATTTTCATTTGTTTGTGTTCCAGTACAATTTGATAATTTTCCATTTGAAGTGATATGCATTTTTCTCAAATTGCATTTGTAAATCTTCCACATTTTTATTTGTGTTCCATAAGAACTGAACAAATAACAATAATAATAAAAAAAGCTCAAAAAGGTCACATACACACAATGGTCCCATGATCATAAAACTCCTGAATGATTCTGTGCACTGGTGCTGAATGCTGAACTTGATACAATGCAAAAAAACAACAACAAAAAACAGTACAATACAAAACCAACAATTGATCGCTGGTATTTGTTGTTTTCCAGTAAAAAAAAAAAAATATATATATATTTTTAAATTATCTAAACTAAATAAATTTGAGGATCAAAAACATCTTTATTTTCAGAGAATATATGTTGAACTAAGTTTCTTTTTCGTACCCCAATAGCATTTTTACTAAATTTTAACAAATGCTATATACATATATATGTATATATAAACAATTTGCCAATGAGGTGTGAAAAATACATTTAATTCAGGAAATAAAATAAAAAAATCTCACTGGAAACCAACACAAAAATACTTGTTTACGGAAATGAGCTTTGCACTGTAATGTATGCATGCACGCAAGCAAGCAAACACACACACACACACACACACACTATAGAACTACAGTAAGGCATGGCATGATAAAATCCCAGCGCACTACAGTCAAATGACATCAGATTCTCTTTTTAGGTCCAAAGCTGTGTGTTAATGGCCAATGACACACTGAACTAGTGTGCAAGATTTCAAAGCTGAAACCCATGCAGTACAGAGAAGAAACAAAGTATCAACATGCACCATTTTCTGACCCCAAAACATTGAAATAATGTAATGTAATATAATATAATTGTGTGTGTGTGTGTGTGTCGGTGATGGAAAGCAAAGCATGGCTGTACTAAAGTGTACTATACTTCAATTTCAGGAGTTACAGATCAAAACAAACAGCTTTTCAAGAAAAGCTGCCTGACACATTCAAGATAATACTGATATCCTGCCAGACATGAACACAAAGGACAAACAAGCAAAACAAAATTTAAAAAATAATAAAAAATGTGTCCATATATATTAACTCATCCAACAGCACATGCCAGAAAAACAACAGCTGCTTCTAACTTTTAAAAACGCATAATACTGAAATAAATAACAGCAGGTTTTTGATAAACATCTTCATGTCTTGAGAGTCAGTAGTTTGGGGTTTCTTTTCTGTAAACGATATCTAGTGTGTTTTGGGGCATACAAGACGCCTTTGTGAATCTCATGAAAAATATCATGACGTTTTCTTATTTGTCTCATTGCACACCCAAAAAAAAAAAAAAACCTTACTGTACTATATATACAGTATACTGACAATATGATTTTTTGCCTATTTAAGCTTATTTATCCAACACATTCTCATTACTGTACTGTAAAAATAATAAATAATGATATTTATATTGTAAAGTACACAAGTATAGATCATGATCATGTACTGAATTGATGCTGATTTTAATAAAATACACTTGTTGAGATCGGATGATATTTTATTACATTGCTACAATGTATGCGAGTTCATATATATATATATATATATATATATATATATATATATATATAAATAACGAACTTACATACATTCTATACAGTATATATAGTGGGACTTTTGGGGGGAAATATGCTTGTCATAAAAAAAAGGCAGTCATAATGTTCCTAAAATTGGCTCCTAAAATTCTTTGTGCAAATCTATTTAGTCATTTATTTAATTTGATATTTCACCGGGACATTTCTTCATGAGATTCACCCACGAATAGAACGGTGGAGGGCCCAAACCATCTGAAACCTTATTAAACCTCATTCAGGAGTCTAGATCCCACCTCAACTAACACTAGCTCTGATAGAAAACCTGTAAAACAAGGACCTCAGGCTCTTGATATGTACGATGCCGACAGAGCAGGTCAGTGTGATGCGAACCCAAACAATCCCATCATGCACTGGGTCTGGACTGTACCATCTCTTTGGAAATGATTCCTGAAGATCAGAGATGTAAACTTGAGGAAGCTCTTGAGGAAGAGATCAGCTCGAGGACTGTGTATGGATTTCTAAGTTTTCTTTTCACCAGTTTTCCCCAGACATGACTACGTATTAGCTAATCACCACACGCTACTAACCAATAATAATCTACACTAATGAAGTCAGCTGAGCTCCAAGGTCTAGGTTATTTATCTGGTATGGATGAGAGCAGAGGACTACAGTATGTTCCACAACTGGATATCCAGCTTAGCTAGCATCTGAGAGAAAAAAAAAAAAGAAAAAAAAAAACCTGATAGGGTAAAGCAATAAATAAAATATCCTAGCATCATACACTTTCATAGATATTTATATATGTATAAGATTATACAGCCCCGGGAAACATATTCTGGTTGTGACAGTGGTCTGAAAAGGCATTAGTGTTAGAATTAGTTATTTTGAGCTTCATTCTTACTTTCGTAATGTTCAATAAGCGAAACATCTCTGAAATATTCCAGGTGAATCTCACAAAAAATATATATATCCAGGTTCCACGATCAAAAGAATGAAGTCAATGAAGGCCATTTTTTTTAAAAACATTGTTTTGTGTTTTGTATTAAATATAAACAATGTAAAAAAACATTGTTGTTTTTTTGTTGTTGTATTGTAACTGTTGTCATGGATATTTCTGCCCATATTCTCCTTACTGTAATGTTTGTGGACATTTTAGTTTTGGGCATTTCTGTTATTCACACTATCCTCAATGTTTCTCATTAATAATATCATATATATTTTACTGCATTCCAGTGAGTTCCAATTATTTATTTGATTCAGCATATGCCCGCAAATACTGTACAATGTGAATAATATTATTTGTTTTCGCAATAAGATATTTTTTTTTGCAATAAAGCAATACAAAACTGTTGAGGGAAAGTGCTTAATTATCATTAAAATAGCATCACAATGTCCAAAAACTTAATGGTATAATGGTATGGGCTGAATTTTCTTTAAGTAAAACAGGTTTTTGCAAGATTCACCCTTTTAAAGAATAGACAAAAGTGATGAAGAAGAGCAAAAAGAGGGATTGGTGACATGGTCTAAATTGCATTCTCTTTAATTATGTGGCTTATTTACCTATAACAACTGATTATTTATTTATTGAAATATTTTGGCTCCCTGTTCCTGCCGTGTGATTGGCTGAGGTGAGGTGATTGACAGGTCTACACGCGAGTGAGGAAGGCCAGATTGAGGCTGCCGGGGATCTGAATGGTTTCCAGGGCCAGAGAGGAGGGGTTAAAGGGGAAGGTCACGGGGTAGATGACTTTGGTGTCCATCAGCAGCTGAGGCGACTCCTTCCGATCCCGTAAACGCGTCTGTCAGAGGAAACACACAAGTTGAAGCATTCAAAATCAATAAAATGATATGATGACTTAAGAGCACAAGGTCTAGTATGAATTTTTTAAACATACCTGTATTGTTCTTATGAACAATACTGACACACGCTCTTCAAATGCATTGACAGGCGTGTACAAGTTCAGCACCTTCACGATCTGGATAGAAAATAAGAAATGATGTGTGTGTGTCAGGTTGTGGTAAGCAAAAAAACATGAGAAAAAAAATTGATGAGCAGTTGCATGACAAAACAAATTCAAAAGTAGGCCTCCAAAAAAGAACAAAAGATTGTTTCGGTCAGTCAACGATGTAAAACCAAAAAAAAATGTGAAAACTACGGAGCCCCTAAAGGGACATGGTGACGGAAAAAAAATATGAGATAGGAAGAAATATTCAGTATAATCTGTGTTATTCTGACAAAAAAAAATCAGTCCCCCCCACCCCCATTTACATTTCAACAGTAAAGCAGGACAAAATAAATAAATGCAAATTAGGCAATACAAGCATAAATATTACACTGCAAAAAATGCTTTTCTTACACAGTATTTTTGTCTTGTTTCCAGTCAAATATCTAAAAATTCTTAAATCAAGAAGCATTTACTAGATAAGTAAAATGAAAAGTTTTTGCTTAAAACAAGCTAAATTATCTACCAGTAAAAAAGAAAAAAAAAAAGAAAAAGAAAAAACTCAATTCAAATGGAAAACAAGATTATTTATCTTACCCCCTTGGCAGATAATTTTGCTTGTTTTAAGCAAAAACCCAATTCATTTTGATTATTTAAAATCAGAAAACAAGATAGAATTTCTTATGTAATTTTACTTATCTAGTAAATGCTTCTTGATTTAAGAATTTGTAGATATTTGGCCTGGAAAGACTAAGTAAGAAAAGCATTTTTTTGCAGTGTAGTGGAATTCATTTTGATTCATCACACTGAATTTAAATATTAAACAAACAAACAAACAAATAAATAATGTTTTATCTATTTAAAAAAAAATGCCTCAAGGAATACTACAATGTTTTGCACGTTGGGAACTGCTGCTATAAAAATGTGATCCTTGAATTTTATTGTAATGTGTATTCTTTTTAATGATTGGTGAGCGTCTAAGTGGGTCGTTTTGTTTTGTTTGCCTGAAAAAGCTAGACTTTTTCAAATAACTAATATTGGCTACATCAAGACGATATGAAATTGCGCAAAAGAAACGGAATGATCAGGGAAATTAATCATAATGTATAGAAAGAGACAGTCTGGAGTGTGTGTTACCTGTGCTGTAGAGAGGGCGTTACACATGGAGCAGATTGCCTCGGCATCCTCATCCGTTTTCTTCTTCACCTGCAGGAGTTGTGCGGCCTGAATCAGCGGCTCCAGCGTCTCTTTTGCGCCGCATGTCATGAGATTCTTATCTCTCAGCCACTCCTCCAGCTGACTCACGTTATACCTGAACACATACACACATTGACCCTTGGACCAGAGACTATACTGCTGGAAATAAATTCAAATATGGCCAACAGCTAAATTTCTGAGCTTATCTTGCATATACAATGTAATCTATACCTCCGCTTAAAAACTTGTGGTCGGTAAAAGTTTTAATGTTTATGAAAGTTATTTTTATGGTCATCAAGGCTATGAAATACTATGAAATATTACGATTTAAAATAACTTTTTATTTTATTTTAATATGTTTTAAAATGTATTCCTGGTTTCACTGTTAAAATCATTCCAATATGTTGATTTGGTGCTCTACAAACATGTATTATTGTTATTAATCAGTCCCTCCAGTTTTTCGCGATTCTGCGATCGCTGAATACAACGCAAAATCAACAAAATGTCGCATTTTTTTGCGATCCTGCATAATTCCTAATTTAACCGCAAAATAATCACAAAAAATAAAAAAAAAAGTCCTCTCAAAACATTAAATTATAATCACCCAATTGAAATATCTCTAGTTAATTAAAGTTTGCATTTTTACGTGGGTACAGATTACAGAATAGATGTTGCGCACGCGTGATGTCTGTGAGCGGTCTGTCAGAAACATGGCGAAAGAAAAAGCGTCTCTCCTGCCCTCTCAGCGCCCAGGTTTTCATTGGGCAGTACGGCAAACTTATTAATGCGTTTAACATGATTGAATGACATAACAAAAAGTATTATATGCTCGATGGTACTAAAAAGAATTATTAAAAGCGCAGTATACCGTGAAAGAGAACTAATTTCAGCCAGTCGAGTGACAGTCTGTCTCTGACTGCAAGTGTGTGTGTGTGTGTGTGTGTGAGACTGACTGACTGACTGCATGTCACCGCCTGTCGGCCTAGTTAGAATATTGAATTCTCTTTATAGCGCTTGAACAAATACACATAGCTACAATTACTTCAAAATATTCATCTTGGCAAGTATTAACGTAAAACAATCAGTAATAACTGATTGGGACGTTTGTCATTACTGTAGTAGGTCTTAAAGTGACAGTAACCTAATTTACCTGCTGTTGTTAATGTTAATCAAGCAACAACAATAGGCTACAGCATAATTTAAAAAAAAGAATTTGATTAGACCAAATAAACAAGCTTTATGCATTTTGTTTGTGATTTGTGTCATGTTGTGCATCTGACATAATACTATTATGGTAAATGTGATGTCCTAATTATAAAATATAAAAATCGCAATTTTTTTCACAAATTTTTGGAAATTACCACCACAAAATCAGTCATTTTGATCGCAAAAATCACATAAAAAAATCGTGAAATCCTGGAGGGACTGATTAATATCATCACTACTGAGAACGACTGAGATATTTTTGAGAAAACCATGATCGTTTTTTTCCCCAGGGTTCTTCGCTGAATAGAAAGTTTAAAAGAACAGCATTTTTGTGATTTTTTTTAAAAGTCTTTACTGTCACTTTTAATCTATACATCCTTGCTGAATAAAAGTATTCATTTCTTTCAAAAAAAAAAAAATCTTACTGAATCCAAACTTATGAACGGTATTGTAAATCTCATGTGCATACTGATTGATAATAATATTGATATACTATAATATTTATAATATAATTAATTAAATATTATGGAAGTCAATGGTGTCCATCAACTGTTTGGTTAACAACATTCTTTAAAATATCTTCTTTTGTGTTCAGCACGAGACAGAAATTCATACAGGTTTGGATCAACTTGAGGGCGAGTAAGTGACATAATTTTCATTTTTAATATCCCTTTAACTTTTAATTTGTGATTTAAATTGAATGATTATTATAACATTTCTATATAAAAGAAGCATGTTTTATATGAAGGTAAATTAGTAGCAAAACTCGAGAGCATGTAGATGTGAATTTGAGAACTTGTACAATAAATATTCGTACGTGTACGCAAACATTTACACTCACAGCTCCGATGTGAAAACCTGTAAAACAAATATCTGAACTTGAACGCTGAGATATACACACTCGCAGACAATAGTCACAAACCTGTATTCTGAATTTGAAGCTGCAGACAAGCAGTCACAAATGTGTAAAATGACATTCACAAAGATACAACGACAGACACAAACTTTCTTCTAACATTCAAATTCGCAGTACAACCTCAAATTGGCATTTGCAACTTCTCAAATCCTTCACTGCAAGTTCAAATTTTGCGCCTTGACTTTTGCTACTCTTTGAGCGGGCGTGTTCAAAGGAGCCGTTTTATTGGTTGGCGCCTAGCCAATGAAATGGGACTTCTATAGTACGCGATGATGTCACGAAACCCGCCTCCTCGTGGATGTTCTGAAACGCTAACATGGCTTAATGCATTAGACTGATTTAAGACATAAATGATATTATCAAACTTAGTGATATTAACACCATACTAATAATGTATCCAACAGAAAAACAGATGAGCACAGAATATGACGAAAGAAAGCAAATTTGTGTTCAGTGCAAATAAACCAGCTGCCTGTGTTTTATTAATAATGTATAACGAATTGTGTTTTTTTTTATAACTGTTGGTCCATTAAGCCTCATAAAGCGTTTTCTTGGTTTTCTATGAGAGGAAAATGCTTACCGTACAATTAAACGAGTTGCGTTCATATTCTGCTCAATTGCTTTTCTGTCTGCTTTATTTATGGTGTTTCCTGAGTTTGGTCTTTTAAAACCACTGTCTTAATTTAACGTGTTGCGTTCATATTCTGTGCTCATCTGCTTTTCTGTAGTATGCATTATTGTGTTTACTAAGTTTGATAATATCATTCATTTCTTTTAAATCAGTCTAATGCATTAAGCCATGTTAGCGTTTCAGAACATCCACGGGGAGCCGGGTTTCGTGACATCATCGCGTACAATAGCGTACAATTGGCTAGGCGCCAACCAATAAAACGGCTCCTTTGAACACCCCCGCTCCCACCCCCTTTTCTCTCTCGCCACTACTGAGTTACTTACAAGTGCACAAATCAGTTTTGCACCTCATATATCGCGAAAAGAGTAGCAAAAGTCAAGGCGCGAAATTTGAACTTGCAGTGACAGATTTGAGAAGTTGCAAGTGCCAATTTGAGGTTGTACTGCGAATTTGAATGTTAGAAGAAGTGCAAATATATTTTACATGTTTGTGACTGTCATTGTATTTCTGTGAATGGCATTTTACACATTTGTGACTGCTTGTCTGCAGCTTCAAATTCAGAATACAGGTTTGTGACTATTGTCTGCGAGTGCAAATTTCAACATTCAACTTCAGATTTTTATTTTACAGGTTTTCACATTGGAGCTGTGAGTAGAGGTCTTCTCGGGTCCTAAAATCTGTACCCGACCCGAATCACTACTTACCCGAACCCGACGTGCATAAATTTTTTTTTTTTAAAGAAAAACCCGACCCGAGACAGACCCGATAAAATTAGACCCGAGTCCGACCCGACCTGACGCCATTTCCTTTAGAACCCGACTGGACCCGAACGTTAACGGCATTTACATTGTGCACAGCCTGCAGCCCTGCGTTTCTCAAAAATGCACTTAACAAAGACGCGCAAGTGTAAGCGTGCTGAAGTGCTAAAATGTCAATCACACATCACTGTAACCCATTACGTCCTATAAAATTTGGCATAATGTTATTTACCGGACCATACGATGATTAGAACCACCATTCGTTTTCCCTGACATATTTCTGTTATCGCCTCCATGCTTTTCTGACAGTGTCGCGTATTTTTAAAATTGATTGACAGGCCTGGCTTAACGACAATTCAAATACTTCCATTTAGTCAAACATCCATCCACATGATGGCGCACTAGTTCTTCTTGGCAAAGGGAGGGGTTGGTTTATGTGGAGCGAGCAACTGAGTAAATAAATGCGGAGGACACCGCGCTTATGCTTATAGCCCATTTGCACGTAGAAGCGCGGATTCGCTCTCTCACTTAGAAAAAGTGAGAGAACGGTGTCATAGAGTTGTTTTAAATACTGCAATTTTAAATGCCCAACATAGTTTAAAAGAATTCGGGTCTTCTCGGGTCCATTTGGAAAAGGCATATTTATTTTAAATTACACGAGACCCGAGGCCACTAATACCGAACCCGACCCGTGTCCGAGACACTCGTCGGAGTTTTGGACCCGAACCCGCTCGGGTCTCGGGTCGGGTCTCGGGTTTTCGGATCCAAGTGGACCCGTGAAGACCTCTAGATGTGAGTGTAAATGTTCACATACAAGTACGAATTTAAGTTCTCAAATTCACATCTACGTGCTCTCGAGTATTGCTACTCTTTTACCTTCAAAGTTTTAAGGCCTTATTTTGCACGATGGTTTCAAGAATTATGAAGAATTATTGGTATAGAATAATTACTAATAATTCCAACGCTATTTGGCGGCCACTGTATGTTAATACATTTGCACTGTTCTGCGAACATCTAGAAGTAATAAGCCCGCACCTGATCTGCATGCCCTTGCTCCAGGAGCACATGTCTTTACGCAGCAGCAGGTTGTTGAGAGTAACGGCGCCGATGATGTAGAACTGCTGCTTGACCACCTGTTTGATGAGCTCCGGGTCGGTCCCGTGCTGACACATGATGGAGTGGAAGGAATTGAGCTGGCGGATGATGGAGTCCAACGTGTACGTGCCCTCGTCGGCGATACTCGATGTCCTCTTACGGAGACCCGTGGGCTTCACGCCGGAAACGCCCTGGATGGTTTCATGTTCCAGCATGCCAGAGACTGGCGAGAGCAACAACAGACAGAGGGATAAATACAGAGGGAGAGAGAAAGAGCGATGCAGATCGAAAGAAAGTCACCCAGAGGTCCCGTGCTCACCGATCATGGGCTGCAGGATGTTCTCCATAGACTTGATGAGCTGTTGGTAGATCTGAATGGCCAGATCGCTCAAAACCTGCCGGTACTCGGCCAGGTCAAAGTTGGAGAGACAGTGATCATTCTGTTTAGGGGAGTTATGCTTCATGAATTGCTGGAGAGAGAAGGAGAAGAAAGTGTTGATTCTGTTTAAGCAACAAGAAACTGTGGCCACATATACACTGCAGAGACAATACACACTATTCCCACACCTTTTGAACAATGGATTTACATAATTTTTCCAAGACATGTCTGTTTTGTGATTAAACAGCACAGTCTTTCTGGTTAAGAAATGATGTGTGTTTAAAGAAAATAATGTCTATTTTTAGGACCATTATGATTTTTTTTTCTCATCACCGTAATGCATACTGTTTATTCAGACTTTATGCAGGTAAATTTAAGATTTTTAAAGTCCTTTTTAAGACCAAGTAAAGAAAATTGAAGAAATAAATTGAAGGGAATGTTCTTTAAATGTAAATGACCAGGGAGAAACACAATGAGCTGTATTAGCAACTTCAGAGTTTGACAATACAACTTCCAACATATATCCATTACTTTTTAATTCATTTTACAAAAAAAAAGTAGCTTGAATCGCTCTGATTCTAACCACTAGAATACGGACATAACTTTTACTATATCTTCTGATCGCACTGCAAAAAAAGTGATGTTCTTCCTCAGTTTTTCTGGCTTGTTTTCCAGTGAAAATTGCAAAAATGCAATTACTGGAGATACAAAAATCAAATATGAAGTCCTGTTTTCTGTAAAAATGTATCAAAACAAAGTGAGTTTATGATTAAAACAATAACAAATATCAGCCAATGGGCTGAGAAAAAACAACTTATTTCAAAGGGAAGTGATAACTCTTTGACAGATATTTGTTCTTCGCATAAACTCACTTTTTCAAGACTTAATTTTACAATTGCATCTCAAGTAAATGTATCTTTATTTTAAATAGAGTTAATAGTTGTATTGAAAAACAGCATAAAAATACCGATGAAGGTATACATTTTTTTCAAGGCTTCAACATTTAATGCCATGACTTGACTATGAATTTAAGACTTTCTGCTCGGATTTAATATTTTTTTGAGACTTTTTTAATACCCGAAGAAACCCTGTTATTATGTACTTATCTTTAATCATTATTCTCATTAGATGCTCATGTAATACATGATTTGTACCTTTATTATTAATGTGTTTTAAATAAGAATATATATTAAAGGCAGTACAGCAAATACTACCATAATATATAATAGTTTACATATTTCTTTACATTACGGAAATGAGAATGACATATTTTGCATTACATTTACAAGAATTTGGGAGGAGTGTCATGAAAATCTTCATGTTATTTTTGAAATGTAATTTCTTATTTATTTCGTTTGATTTTGGAGTGAAATATAACATGAACATGTTCTTGACATGCAGAATTGTTCGAAAGTGAATTTGTCAAAAGCGTTGTAAATAACCACATCTTGCTTATACAAACTTAGATTCAGGGTTCCCAGAAAAGGGCTTCAAGGGCAAAAACATGAATAAATCCACATTTCTGTAGTGAATATAAAATATATATATATATTTGTGCTGGGCAACGATTACAAATTTTAATCGCGATTAATCGCATGAATTTATTGCGATTAATCGCATTGTTACGCGCAAGAGTGAATAATGAATTCTAAAGTAGTGTATTGCGCACTTTTGATTTAAATGTACTGCTATATACACAAAAGTGCAATAACATGTGGTTTGCCAAAACTTTAAACAAATAAGCTGCTTTATACCAGCAGTATTCCCTTTACACAGTAGCAATAAAATATTTATTGTAAATCTCAACTTAAACATTAATGTAATCAAATCAAATATTAAAACAAAGCTATGCCACTGCCAGGGCATTACCTTGTATCTAGCTTGTTAAAACGAGTCCAGTTTTCTTGTTTTTTTTTCTGAACAGGTATCAACAGGTATCTTTTATCAGGGAGCAGCAGAAACAGTCTATGTAGTCAGAGGTCATGACCACTACTACAGATATAAGTCGACCAACGTTACTTCTCTGATAGTAGCTTAGGTTTGGTCATGACATGGTTTCCCACGTACACTAAGATTACATTAAACAGATGTAAAGCCCAATTTATACTTCTGCGTCGAACTCACGGCGTAGCGTACCTGCTGTGTGTAGCGCGCGTACCCTGACGTGCACCTCTCCAAAAATGTAACAATGCGTCAATTATACGCAAGCACTGTGATTGCTAGAACCGACAAGCTAGTGCGACAAGCGAGTGTGTTCCTGTGAAACTGTTGCGGTCATGCTCGCCTCACGCACGCGCCCGCGCCCTCCCGTTGCCGAAGTTGAATTGACGACGCGCAGCACAAATCATTGGAAGAGAGACTGATCCTCGGCTCGCTGTTTGTGAGTTTCCACAATCTAAATAGTTATCAGGACGTCATCAACAGAAGGGAATTCACATGGCAGCGCATCTCCACTAAACTAAACGCAGGCCTATCAGGTATAATTTTAATTTAAGTTAAAAAGGCTACAGCTGCGTAGCGCACAGAAGCCGTTGCCATGGTTACTATCATAGAGCGCCTGTCATTCACTCGCGGAGCGCTGTCTCCCTTTCTGTTCACCTGAGAGAACCTGCCAAAGCCCCTCCACTGCTTGTTTGGGTGGGTTATTTGCTGGCTGACCAACATCCCACCCCTCCTGTGATCCATGGTTTGACTGTAGGCCTATGTGTATTCAGAGCCAGTGAGCAACGGACTTTCAAAATAATAATTTAAAAAACTGCGTTAACGTGCGATAAAAAAATTGTCGGCATTAATTAATAAATGCGTTAACGCGATAATAACGAATTAACTTGCCCAGCCCTAATATATATATATATATATATATATATATATATTTTTTTTTTTTTTTTTTTTTTTTAAAAGCTCTATATTTCAACAGCTGGATATGTCTTCAGTTACTTATGTTAGTTTGGTAAAAAAAAAATAGCTAACAAGAAATGGGATAAATTCTTGGTCTCCATGTTTCTTCTTTACAGCCAGAGTTGCTAAACTATTTACATGGTTCACTGTCAACCTTCTATCTAGAGTTTGAGAGTGACAATAAGTATGATATCTATTTACTTGTGCAAATAACTGTGTGAGCAGGCCAGAGCGAGACAGGAAGTTCATGTGTGTCTGAGTGTGATCTCACCTCATCGCCACTGTACTGTTTCAAGCAGTGCAGGAAACGACACGTGTTGGACAACCAGAAGGAAACAGTCTCAAAGTCGTCACCTCTTTTCTGTAGAAAAAGCAAAACAGTAATAGTTTGTAGTGATAAAGAAAAACAAAAGTTATTCTGCTTTTTTAATACTATTGTCAAAAAGAAGTGTCCGTTTTAGCATTATAAATGTGAATGGTGTGTGAGAGTGAGTGTGTTGAGACCTTGAGGATCTTCTTGATGCTGTTGATGACAGAGGTGAGTAGAGATCGGACTTTCTGGTCATCATTGACATAATCGGCATGGCGCAGACACATGAAGAGGATGTATGCCGGCAGCCCTGGTATCAGATTCACTGCCACACCACGAGGCTTCAGCTCTGACAAAAATCACACATGCACAGATCAGAGTTTAATGGAGCGTTTTCATATTATTATTATTTTTTCATTTAATTTCATTAAGGCTATTTTTATTAAGGCTTTTTACCAGTTTTCTTAAAAAGAGTGTAACGGCTTGCGCCAGCGCAAACCCTCTTTCAGCGTTAAAAAACTACTTTCAAAATTGACCAAAGATGTGCAGAGAGAAATTAGCGATGAAAACGTGTGGGCTGTTATTTTTGGGATTAACCTTATTGCATATGCTTTTGTAGGAGTTTCCCATTCAGAAGAAAGATTTATGGGAGATCAATTTACTGGTATTTGTGCCATTATTTAATGCCCCAAATCCATTTTGCGCTTTATATGGCTGCAATAGTTGCTTCTAGGAAGAGGCACTGTAGAGAACAGAGAGGTGGTAGAATGGAGAGAATATTCTCCACTTATGTTCATTTATTTGGAATGGCAGAGGCGCTACGTTATCCCAACATATGGTTGCCAAACCACGTTATTTTTGCGTTTGTTTGCGACCCAATGCTAATTTGCGCTGATTTTGGTAGATTGCGTTGGTCATAATGGAATTGATCTGGCTTCGTCTGTGTTCGAAAATTCTAAAATCTGCCCTTTTGTGGTATTTTGCAGTCTTATGTTAATTTACCCTGTTTAGTAAATCTGGCCCCAAGTGTCTTACCAAGTATGAGATTTTTGACCAGTTTGAGTTCATCCTCTTTCTTGTATTCCAGCATTCCCTGGAAATCTTTCTCCCTGCGTGGAATGTTCACTGGATGAACAGGCTCATCAGTCGTCTGTCCTGGAGACACATCCATCTGCCCACCTACAAAACACAGAAAACATCCACACACAAACACGAAGGCTCATATCATGTAGATTTAACCCTTAGGGGCCGGCCGTCGCGATAGCCTCGCTTTTTTTCTTATCAGAGCGAATGAGACTCAAATAACAACATTTTTTGTCATACATTTAAGTGTTATATATGATTCAAAACTGTTAAATGTCTACTTTTATTTGTGTACACTCAATAAAAACAAAATGTTGTGATTTTTGTAAAAGGTGCGAGTTCACCTTGGATTTACCTCAGAAGAAGAACGCGATTTGAAGAATTTTAAGGTAAGAAATGTATTCTCACTTATATTAGTTAGCGTGTGATTGTTGCATAATCTTCACATTGTACTAGTTGAACTGGTGCCACTGGAACTATAGACAGTTGGCAACATTTCAATGTTAAATAAATATGACGTTATAACTTTTAATTAATTTATATACTAATAATATAGTATAAATAACGACACGAGATCTGACAGATGATTTCTGAACAGGGGCTCTAAACACAGCCTGTGACACATACCTTCCAGGTCATTGATCTTCTTTGCAAAGACTTTGAGCTGTTTCTTCAGCTTGCGGACGGTCTTATCCTGTTTCTCCAGCTGCTCCATGAGATCCTGTCACCAGAGAGACAAGACATCATCATCATCATCATCATGACAATTGTAGCAGCTTATGGCAACTGAGTCTCTTTGGCAGCAGAGTGAAAAATAGGGTTTATTTTAGTGAATCGGGACAAAGCAGGTCAAACGAGCATCGTTCAGTTCTGCAACAATCTGAAGATATACAGCATCTGTCCATGCAACTCATTAAACAGAGAGAAAAATAGAAACAAAGATGGGTGAATCTCACAAATAAATGTCACTTTTCACCCCATCCAAAAAAAGGGAAAAAGAAAAAAAGAAACATTTTGCTTAATGAAAAATGCATATTTTGAAAAAATATAAGTACATTTTTTTTATGATGTGGTGTCATTTTTGCGAGATTCACTTACAAGAGAGAAACGTTCAAATATATTATATATTAAAAAGAAAACATTAAAAAGTGTGTTGATTCACACTGCTGTGGGTTAAACACACAGTTAGAGTTCAACGCAGCTCAGATTCTGTGCAACACACGCTAGTTTCAGTTAGTGTTCAGATACATGCACACACACACAATCCTACATACAACCATCCTGCGTAACATGCTGATTCTGTAGGCTTTATACTCCTTTGGATCATCAGAATGAAGCTCCTGTGAATGAAACATCTCCACATCAGATGCAGATGGACAGTACAGCACTGAAACCAAAATCACACTCCACCGTTTCATGAGTGAGTAAATCTGAAATCATTTAGAATCACATGAAACAAAAGATTGAGCAGCAGGATATCTGAACTGTCTTTTCAATGCGAATACCACATTTGATACTTTTGATATTCATCTGGACATGACCCAAAAATGACGTGTTTAGAGCCTATTGTCTAATATATCTGACAAATATGTACACCATAGCTACCATTTGGGAACAATTATTCATTTAATAATTCATGGCTAATAATTAGTCGATGTTTTATACATTGGCAATTCACCAACATATATAATATATCGTATGCTATATATGTATTTGGGGCACAGCTTACCCACTGACACGTTCTACTCCACTCTCCCCTAAATGTGCTAGTTAAATCTGTTAAATCTGCAGTCCACCCTATTAATTAAAGACCCCATAACATGTTTTAACAAAAGCAGTTTTCTTTCCTGTGTTGATGTTCTTTCTATTGAAACAGGACAACACAGTCAACAATACTGCTATCTGGTGGCAGGTGATTAGGGGGAGGGAAATTATTATTCTATAATAACAATAATAATAATACAAAAAATGATTCTGTGATCTTGCAATCTTTCGATCTTTCAATAGTTCACTGAATTATCTGCAGCAGCTTGCATTTTTGTCTAATTTCTACAATTTTGTCCCGCAAACATGTTAAGCTGACGGGGGATGCAATATTAGCAATAACACTTTATTTCGATGGCCACTTTAGACATTCTACTAACGATAAGTAACTTTGAAACTACATGTCAACTATCTCTCATTAGAGTATTAGTAGACTGTCTGCTTAATATCTGCTAACACTTGATTCTGATGGTCCTACAACAGACATTCTACTGACTATAAGTAACTTTGCAACTACATGTTGTTACGTCTCAGGATGTAATATTGTAAATGTTTGCTTGTCTGTTCTATTTTCACTCTAATATGATTAGTAGCATAAGCAATGTCAACTTATTCTACTAACCTGAACCCTAACCTAACAGTCTACTAATACTCTAACAAGAGTTAGTTGACATGTAGTTGCAAAGTTACTTAGTAGAATGTCTAAAGTGGACCATCAAAATAAAGTGTAACCATATTGGCTAATCAAAACCAATAAATCTGAGCCCTGACAAATGATTCACTACGTGTTTAACAGTCACACTGCTGTATTCCAATGCATTTCACTGTAAAATGAGCCGAAATGGCTGGACAGGACACATGGAGCATCAACCACCATTGGTCAAAAATTTACAGGTAATTGTGATCTTACAGGCCCTCATTTACGAAAACAAACTTACGACAAATTGGGCGTATGGTCGTTTCCACGCAAAACTTGCCATATATCAAAATGGACGTGAACAGTGGCTCGAACGTCAGGTTTCGACTCGTGCATGCAAGTTTTTTAGTTAGCATGAACTTGTGGGGCAGCACAATAAATCTGGCGGAGAATTGTTATGAGAGCATTTTGACTGGAATCATATTCATCATTTAAAAATGAGTTGCCAATGGTAAAATATTGTATTGACAGTGTGCCATACAGTCTATCCATAACATACTGTATATGTATAATAGAAGTATTCTCTTATTTAAATACTTAAATGATTATTAATGTTTCACTATTACACATAAATTATTATATAATTAACTAGGGGTAATATTTCTTGAGAAACATCAGTCAGTTAAATATTCAAACCTCAGCTGGTGTTCGATTCACGACACCAACGCGGTTGATCGCAGAAGTGATCTCGCTCCAAACTGCATTTTATGACTTCATTTTATTCCGCTTTTCAAGCTGCCTAATAACCCAAGCTAGTTTGATTCAACTTGTGAGGTCAAAGTTTCAATCTCCAGGTCAGAGAAGGTCCTCTTCTTGGCTGGGTTACATTTCTCAATGTCATACACTCGAAGGGCATTGCTTTTAAACCGTGAATTTATAGGGCCGTGATATTTAAATGAAGATTTTCAGATGCCACATTTGTCCAATTTGTCACTAATGGTAGTTACTTAAAATGAAAACAATGAAATGGCCCCCAAAAATAATAATTTAGTCATTTACTCATCCTCATGCCGCCCCAGATCCATATGACTTTCTTTCTTCAGACGAATACAAACAGATTTTTTTTGTTGTTGAAAAGTACAGTTTAAAAAGTATATAGTTATAGTATTTTTCTCACACACACCAACCGTTAAATTTCAGAAGACATAGATTCATCGACTGGGGTTTCATGGATTACCATCATATTCTCTATGCATGAAGTGTCAACTTTGAGGGATCTATCCACGTGCATTATATTGTCTCACAGAAATGTATTATTTTTCTAAAAGCCTGCATTTGTGTTCATCTGAAGAAAGAACGTCATATGCATCTGGGACAGCATGAAGGTTAGTAAATGATGAGAGAATTTCATTTTTTGGGTGGATTATCACTTTAAAGACATAATGATTATTGGTGTTTTTCACTGGACCACATTTTTTTTTAGAACAGCTGCAGCAAATTCAGTAATTTTGGGCCACAAAAAACAGAAAAATGTTCTGTGAAATCTAGCATACAGATCAATACATTTATGATCTCATGGGGTCTTTTACTTTCACCAGAAATTAAGAAAATAAACTTAGATTAGCTTTCTGCTGAGGGCTAACATTCATAAACTAAGTGGTTGGCAACCTATATACTGAACTGCATTAAGGGCCAAGAACAAGTCTTACAGGCCGCATATCTTGAATGTGACATCATTAATAAAACCAACTGGGATTAATATTAGGCTATTACTATAATCCAATTTAATATTATTATGCAAAATAGGTTATAACACTTAAACCAATTGTCTACTACTATACTCTACTATCTTTCTACTAGTCAACTTACGTTTATGGGGCTGTCGGGAGACGACTAAGTTATTGTTGTTGATTTTTATTTATTTATTATTATCTGTTCAATAGTAGGAAAAACAATATTATTTTCAAGAAGTGGACAGTGTGTCTAGCTGGAGGTGGAGAAGCACTGGTATAGGGAAGTGTCAGGATAGTGTCTGTGCTGACCAGGTTCTCGTTGGTGAGGCGCGTGATCTCGTGTTGCAGACTGGCCTCGATTCGAGCCTCTGGAGGAAGCTGAAGATTCTGAGCCAACAGCTGCTGCTGACGGTTGTTGTCCTCTTTAACACTCTGCAGCTCTCCACGCAAAACCTCCACCTCATTGTCATGAGACCGACGCTGAGCCTGCAACTGAGACTCCAACAACCTATATAGAAGGAGAGAGAGAGAGAGAGAGAGAGAGAGAGAGAGAGAGAGAGAGAGAGAGAGAGAGAGAGAGAGAGAGAGAGAGAGAGAGAGAGAGAGAGAGAGAGAGAAGAAAGAGAGACTGCCTTTGAGTTGAGGAAATAACCAGAAATACACTTCTTTATTAGAGTAGCATTAGCTTCTGTTTTGAGATCAAAGAGTTTAGGGAATAGTTCATCCAAAGATGAAAATATTGTCATTATTTAGTTATGCTCATTTTAAACCTGCAAGGAGAAATTCGGAAGAACTTTTATGCAGCGCAATGACAGTGCACCATACAAGTAGTATATAAATTTGTATGCTATATTTCCAGGTCATCTGAAGTCATATAATAGATAGCTTTGGTTGAGAATCAGATTGAAATAGTTATTATTCACTGCTAATCTTCTTGTTTCAATTTTAAAATATTGTGCTGGTCAGTGTTATTTTAGTATCATTGAGATACTACTATAGTTCTCTTACGAGAGTATCTCTCGTACTGCGTAATAGCTTACGCTAGGGGAAAAACTCTTTTCCACGAGATATTGAAGCCAAAAATTATCCTTAATTTTTTATTAATGTAAAACGCTTTGCAGCAGCAAGCAGACATAGGCGAAACAGCTCGCGCGCCTATTGGTTGCTCTGCAGCAAATGCAGCAGCCTATCGAGAGAGACTCTGCGTGACGTAATGACCAATGGGGGCAATTCGCGCCCATATCGTCACGTCCCGCCAGAAGGGGCGTGGTCTCACCCTATAAATATGCTCGTTAGGCTGGTACAAGCTGATTTTTATCGCTGAAGCGAACCAGAGCGTATTCCAAGCACGGCAAGATACGCAGTACTCGTTCCCTCTCTAGAGAGAACCGAGGTTACGTTAGTAACCGAGTACGTTCTCTTACGAGAGTATCTCTCGTACTCTCGTTATCTCTCTCATATCATCTCCCGTACTCTCGTACGGATCGTTAGTAACCGAGTACGTTTTTAATATTTTGAATTGTTTTATTTTATATTTTAATTGTAGTTAAAGTTTTAGTATTTTTAAATATAGGTCTATATACATTTTATTTAAGTTTTAGCTTTATTTATTTTAGTACATCACATTAAACAAAATTAAAATGAGAAATGTTGCCTTCGCTGAAATAAAGTTTGAGTTTTTATATTTTATTTCATTTCAAGTAATGATTTTTTTTAAATGGTTTTAGTTTGAGGGTTCGTTTACACGACACCGTTTTCAATTAAAAACGGAAAACTTTGAATGCGTTTTGGCCGTTCATTTACACGACAATGGCCGAATGGCGTTTTGGGGGCCTGAAAAGCCACATTTTTGAAAACAGGTTTCAATCGTCTCTGTGTAAACAACAAAAACGTAATTTTATGAGAATGGTGACGTCAAGCGCATGGATAGTAAGTGTTCAGTCTATAGGTGTAGTGTTTCTTTACAAAGTGACATTGCCAACTACTGGCCCGGCAGCACAATACAGCGTTTTTAGTCATTTTCTAAACAACTACTTTGAGGGGATCGTTTTGACAATGTTGTCGTCTGTACGCGAAAAACACAAAGGAAAAACGTTTCCGTTTTTAGTACAGCATTGTCATGTAAATGCACCCTTGGTTAACAATAACAACCCTAGTGCTGATGTGATACACCAGGTTTGATAATACAAAAAGAAAATGTGCCATAACCAAAAGAGAAACACCAAGTAGAATATGCTGAAAGAAGAATGAGATCTGAGAGTGAAGGTGAAGATATTCAGTGAATATTATATATCCACCTGGTTCTCACACAAAGCCATCGTATAACTTCAGAAGATTTGGAATATTGCGCACAAGCTGTAAAGACTAGTTTTATGGTACTTTTGTGGGTTTTACTACTTTTTGGAACTTGACAGACATGGTCGCTATGAACTGTCATAAAGGTTTGGAAGAACATCCAGAACAAGATGTTATGACAATGTAAATAATGGCTAACTTTTAATGTTTGAGTGAACCATTCCCAACTAAGGCTCAGAAACCTGCCCATTCTTTCTTGCAGTGCAGCAGTCAGCATTCAACTCTAGTATTTACTTTTACTTATATTTGTATTAAATCTCTTTATGGCAGTCGTAACTACATGCTGTTTTAAAATAAGAATTTTCCAACCCAATTTAATTTTGGTTAGTCCAGTATATCAACACTACAAAGAGTTCTTGCAGGTTTTGATACAATGAAGCACTACTCATACTGTATGTTAAGGAGAACAGTCTTAACGCACTAGTGTTTAGAGAAGTATAAACAGCACAATGTTAGATGATTATGTCTTTAGAAAGCTGAGGGACCAAAAGCAATATAAAAACGGAGGATGGAGATGAGAAAGCTGAACGCTCAGTCATTTCTACATGCTCTCATCTCTCTGCTCTTTAACCTGTTTGTTTCCTTTAACCCTTCATAAACCAACCACAGCTCTCCATCCTCATTCAGTTTATGGTAGTCAGGGAATGGGGATCTGATGGGGTGGAACAAAGAAAGAAATGGTAAGAATGAAAAAAACAAGGACAAGCGAAAACAAAAAAAAGTGGAAAACTTAGATGTGTGTGGCATGTTGAGAAGTTTTACAGGTTATTTAAAAGAATAGTTCATCCAATATAGAATATTTGATAATATATGTGAGGAATGGAACGTAATATAAGTACAACTAAGATTTGAGAGCTGCTTTATGGAGGAGGGAAAGATTAATGCAGGAAAAGAAATAAGTAAAACAGCAAAAAGATGTCAGTAAATAAAACAGAATAAATAATGAAGATAAAACAATGATGATTAAGAAGACTGCAAGTGTAACCATCAATTAATAATAATAATAATAAAAGAAAAACATAAAAAAGCAATAGTTTGCCATCCATTCATTGACATAAATGAGCTATTTGTGCACTGAATATAGGTAATAAATGGCATCCAAGCAGTCAGCCAAAAGCCACATTTACCTTTGGACGGACAGAAATTCTGATCAACACAATGTGATTTTGCTGGCATATTTTGTACAATCGTTCACGAAGATTGCTGCACTGGTATATTATTTCAAATAAACCCTCCTCAAAAGCTACCTGAAGCAAACTTTGGTTGTTTAATCGTTTTAAAGGCGAACTAGACTTTAGACAATCCCTTCTTATTAGTTAAAGGTCATGCCTAGCAAAGCTTTTCTGAATGATTTCTCATCTATCTATGGGCTCTGGAATGCTGCTCTGCTCTGAGCTGCACACACATGCAGTGAGAGCGGCCCATCATGCCTGTCCATCTGTTACCTCAACCTGCTCACAAGCTCGTTCACTTCAGTCGGTCTGCGTGTAAACCTGGGTGATCTGTGCAGGACAGAGATGAGCCATCAAGAGACAGACAGACAGATACAGACAGACAGAGGCCTGATCCTAAACACAGAGGCTTGTGAATAAGGTTGTGAGAGCGATAAATCATCATTTCCTCAGTTGGAGATCGATGTTCTTCAATGGATGTATGCGAGACACTACAGAGAAGATAACCAGCAGCAAAACATAGATCAGAACAGAGGTTCTCAAACCGAGAGGCTCAGAGGGGCATAAATAGAGATGGGTGGTGTGATGGTAAAGTAGACCACACTTGGGTGTTTGCAAACACTGATGATGTGTTTTGTGGGCGGAGCCTACATGGTGGCAGGAAATGACAGGTCTGCAGTAAGCAGTCTAAGGAAACCATGGAATAAAAGAATAAAAAAGGTCATTTTGAGTTTATATCTTCAGAATAATCAGAATTGGTAGATATAACATATTTTTTCCCCTCAGAATTGTGATATAAACACACAATTGTGAGTAATAAAGATAGAATTGGGAGATACATTTTTTAAAATCTAATGTCATGCTGTAACTGAACTGCATATGTGAATATTATCTGTAGACCTAATGTTTACATCATATATATGCTTTAATAGGTTTTATCAGCTCAGTCTGTACATTTAATGGCTTGCAACTATAAAGCTGTGTACAAAGCTATGTAGACAGCTTTTTTATTTTAATGGGAATAATTTCGTTTCGACATGCCATGCCAAAGCTGTCTGATTTAAGCGCAGTGTGAAACACATCCCAACTGGCCACATTAACATAAAATAAAATTTAACTGATGTGCTGTTACACCATGACGACTGTGCAAGTGGGCATATTATCATCTATTGTACAATGGCTTCAAATGTCATGCATCCAGTCATATTTAAATTATATTACTGTTTTCCATATCTTGATTTTAACTCAATCTTATGTAATATTACTTTTTGGTTCACATTCAGGTAAAATAACAAGAACAAATTACTTGTTTTTTTTTTTAAAGTCATAGTGCATTTGATTATTAGAAGCTTATGTAATATACACTACCGGTCAAACGATTCGAAAAAGAAAAACACATTAAATTGATCAAAAGTTACATTTATAGAGACATTTATAAGGTTACAAATCTTTCTTTCATCAGACCTTTCTATTCATCGAATAATCCTAAAAAGAAGTATCACTTACTCCACAAAAAAATGCAACACAACTATTTTTAACACTGATAATGAGAAGGAATGCTTCTTAAGCACCATATTAAACATATTAAAATGATTTCTGAAGGATCATGTGACACTGCAAGTGCAAATACAAACTTTCAGCAGTAATTACTTCAGTCTTCAATCACAAAATTAAATTCCATTTAAAAAAATAAATATTTTAAATAATATGCATTTTTGATTAAATAAACGCAGCCTTGGTGAGCATAAGATACTTTTCCCAAACACATAAAAAACATCGACCCCAAACTTTTGAATGGTAGTTTACACAGCATTTTGGGGTACAATTTCTGATAAAGATTACTATATAGTGATATTAGAAGTAGCGGCCCTCTGGGGGATGCAAATCAAAGTTTAAGAACCTCTGATGCAAGACATGAAGACTTCACTATGAGTAGGGAAGAGAACAGGACTTCACACAACATATATACAGTATGAGATATAATGGATTTGTGATTCAGCACATGACTGCTGATAGTGGAAGAAATGTAAAGAGAAGCACTGCACCTGTTGGTGTCTTTGAGACCCATGTAGGCCTGGGAGATCTCCTTGGCATCGGTCAACTTCTGCACATCCTCAATGTACGGCAAAGGTTCAGTCATGGTTGCCTAAACACACACAGAAGATTCACACTCATGTAAGTTATAAATCACTGAATCCATCAACTAACTGACTTTTGAGCATCAGACACATCACAAGAACCATTTCTCGTTCACTTCATTCTCAGTTAATAAAAGTGATGTTTGAACTTGTAAACTGTAAAGTTAATATACAACGTTTGCGCTTTTCATATAAATAAAGTGCCAAATGGCTTACAAACTGTAAATGTTCGAAAATATCTTCCCAAACTCTGAACGACAGCAAAAGGTAGCATTATAGAGACCAAAATGGAGATGGAAGTGATGTAAATGATTGTTCTGCTGTCTGACCAACATACCTTTTCATCCTGATGTGAGTGCAACACAGGACAAAAGGAGAGATGAAGTTAGAAATCTTAACAAGACTTATGAAGAGAAGAATGTTAGTGACAGATATTAACGCACACAAAACTGAAGTAAGAATGAAAGGCTTTGTGCCTGACCTTGTGTTGCATGGCCTCTTTCTGACTGACGAGTTGAGAGCGCAGGATGAGCACCTCTTCCTTCCGCACCTCCAGCTCCTCGTTGGAGGAGTTCAGCTGATCCAGCAGGACAGTGTACGGAGGAGAACCCGGAGCAGCGGAACCGGCCTCAGCGCTGCCTCTCAAAGACTGACGCATCTCATTCAAATGATGTTTGAGCTTCTTATTCTCAGACTCCAACTCCTGACGCTGGAGAATTCAGAATGATCAACATACAAAAACATTTATACATGTAAAAAACGAAATATTACTATTTAACATATCATTTACTACTGTATACTGCTTTATCTTCCTATTTCAGACGTCCATTTTACTGGAAAATGTTGTTCTATATCCAGCTACGGCAGCAGGAAGGTGTTTCAACACAGCTGTAATTTCATAAGTATTGGTCAAGGACCATAGTAAAAACGTATCTTTTAAAAATTATGCCATAAATTGACCTGAAATAGACATTTAAATATATTTACTGGTAGTGGCGGCTACGATCAAAGCACACGTCAGGTTTCAACTCTTGTACAGTACGTAGGTTTTTGAGTTAGTGTGAACTTGCATGCAGCATAGTAAATCTGGTGGAGAAATGTAATGAGAGTTACGTGTGTGTGTGTGTGTGTGTGCGTGTGTTTACCTTGAGAGATTCATACTCCAGCTCAGCGCCACGAGCTTTCTTATGTTCCTCATCATCCTGGCCAAGAAGAAAACACATTTTCAATTACAGAAACAGTAAAATTACAGAAAAAAAAAAAAAGAGACCACTGCAAATTTATCAGTTTCTCTGGTTTTACTATTTATAGATATGTGTTTGGGTAAAATTAACATTTTGGTTTTATTCTATAAACTACTGACAACATTTCTCTCAAATTCCAAATACAAATATTGTCATTTAGAGCATTTATTTGCAGAAAACGACAACTGGTAAAAATAACAAAAAAGATGCAGTGTTGTCGGAAAATAAGTTAATATTCAGAGTTCAGAAATCAATATTTGGTGGAATAACCCTGATTTTCAATCACAGCTTTCATGCGTCTTGGCCACTCTCCACCAACCTTTCACATTGATGTTGGGTGACTTTATGCCACTCCTGGTGCAACAATTCAAGCAGCTCGGCTTTGTTTGCTGGCTTGTGACCACCCATCTTCCTCTTGATCACATTCCAGAGGTTTTCAATGGGGTTCAGGTCTGCAGATTGGGCTGGCCATGACAGGCTCTTGATCTGGTGGTCCTCCATCCATACCTTGATTGACCTGGCTGTGTGGCATGGAGCATTGTCCTGCTGGAAAAACCAATCCTCAGAGTTGGGGAACATTGTCAGAGCAGAAGGAAGCAAGTTTTCTTCCAGGACAACCTTGTACGTGGCTTGATTCATGCGTCCTTCACAAAGACAAATCTGCCCGATTCCAGCCTTGCTGAAGCACCCCCAGATCATCACCGATCCTCCACCAAATTTCCCAGTGGGTGCGAGACACTGTGGCTTCTAGGCCTCTCCAGGTCTCCGTCTGACCATTAGACGACCAGATGTTGGACAAAGCTGATGAAATTGATGATCTGGGGGTGCTTCAGCAAGGCAGGAATCGGGCAGATTTGTCTTTGTGAAGGACGCATGAATCAAGCCACGTACAAGGTTGTCCTGGAAGAAAACTTGCTTCCTTCTGCTCTGACAATGTTCCCCAACTCTGAGGATTGGTTTTTCCAGCAGGACAATGCTCCATGCCACACAGCCAGGTCAAGAGCCTGTCATGGCCAGCCCAATCTCCAGACGTGAACCCCATTGAAAACCTCTGGAATGTGTTCAAGATACAGTATCTATACACATATCTATAAATAGTAAAACCAGAGAAACTGGTAATTTTGCTGTATGTATGTATGTATGTATGTGGGTTTGGGTTTACTTAGCTATACATTGATAAAAACGATCACACTGAAATCATCACACTAAAACACTGTAAAGATTCTATGGTAAAGACTTAAAGGAGAACTCCGGCGCAAAATGAACCTTTGGTCTAATTACACATTGTTACCTAGTCAACCGTTATCTGAGATTTGTTTTCATGATTATCGAATGTAAATAGTTTTATCTCTACAAACAGTTTAGCCTATAAAGCTAGTATAACGCTAGTATATTGGGCATAGTGTAATGACAAATAAAAATCGCTTGTTAATACCACTAACAAGGCTCAAAATAGCCCCACACTAACACGGTAGCATAATGAGGGTCCCTACCTTCAAACCGAAGCATTGAGAACTTTGTCAGTGTCAAGACAGTTTAAAGGTGCTCTAAGCGATGTCACGCATTTTTAGGCCAAAATTTTTTTTGTCACATACAGCAAACATCTCCTCACTAACCGCTGGCTGCCTGTCCCCTGAACACACTGTAAAGAAACGCGATCTCTGTAGACAGCCCAGGCTCCACAGACGGCAACAAACACAAACTGCGGCGACCCGCTCCACGAAACATGACAAACAGTTCCAGCCAATCACCGACAAGAAGGACTTGGGGGCGGGGTTTGGGGGGTTAGTGCGCGGATGAGGAGTAGGGAGGGTCTAGCTAGCCTCCGTTTTGTTTGACAATACTTTAAACGTCAACAAGAAGTGACGTCACCCGACATCGCTTAGAGAACCTTTAATAAGAAGATATTTTAAACATACAGTCAACTTCGCGTATACAGACAGAAGCCATCTTTGAAATACAGCCTTTACCAGTCGATCTACGAACGCCGATCCAAGCCTGCTGTTCGCGCTCACCTTATCACAACTTATAGCTCGTTCACATTCTCACCAGCGCACTTGGATCGGCGTTCGTAGATCGACTGGTAGAGGCTGTATTTCAAAGATGGATTCTGCCTGTATACGCGAAGTTGACTGTATGTTTAAAATATCTTCTTATTAAACTGTCTGTACACTTACAAAGTTCTCAATGCTTCGGTTTGAAGGTAGGGACCCTCATTATGCTACCGTGTTAGTGTGGGTCTATTTTCAGCCTTGTTAGTGGTATTAACAAGCGATTTTTATTTGTCATTACACTATGCCCAATATACTAGCGTTATACTAGCTTTAGAGGCTAAACTGTTTTTAGAGATAAAACTATTTACATTCGATAATCATGAAAACAAATCTCAGATAACGGTTGACTAGGTAACAATGTGTAATTAGACCAAAGGTTCATTTTGCGCCGGAGTTCTCCTTTAATTGGTAACTGTAGGTTCCCTTACTATATATGCTGAAAAACTAAAGTAAATCTAAAGGGACATTTCATGTTTGGAAGTGAAAAGGCCATTTTATAATTTACATATAAAAACTGTAAACCGTAAACATTATATGAGTTAATGAAAGGTTCATTTTACTCAAACACATACATATAAAAAAAGTAAATCCAGAGAAACTACTAATTTTGCAGAGGTCCCTTAATTATTTCCAGAGCTGTATATATATATTTTTTTTTTTTTTTTTTTTTTTTTTTTTATTGTAGTATCTGGGTTAGGGGGGGAGTCACTATATTTAACTTTAAATAAAAACATTGATGGTATGTTCTCATTTAGAAAGCAAAGTAAAGTGTGTGAGTGTGTGTGTGTGTACCCTAGCTCTAGCCCGCTGAAACTGCTCTTCCCTCCGGTCGAGTTCGTTCTGCAGTGACTGTTTTTCTTGCTCTAGTTCGGATACTCTCTTCTGTAGCTTCAGGAACAGGGACATGTCCAGTATCGCCTTGGAAACATCCTAAGGAGAGAATAAAACATTTTTATATCCACAATATGTGCCATTTTATGTTTTATTCCTAGGATCTTCATAAAGTCAAAAGCCAAAGAATGTCAGAAAAGTAATTAGTTAACAGGCCTAAAATGGATTTAATATCATAAACAACTGAGTAATATGAATGATCGAATTTGACTTCTGCTCTCACCTCCCCTCCGCGGGACCCTTCCTCGGACTCTGCAAATTCGGAGTTGTAGGTACATTCTGATTCGTTGCTGCTGTGTGTCGAGTCTGTGCGCCTGTGACCAGGTTTTGGAACATTCTAGAAGAAAGAAAGGACCCATCAGAGGACCGGAGGCTTTTACTAAAAGGAGTGTGCTGGATCTGAGCCTAAACCAGCCTAATCTTTCAGAATACCCATTGATTACCGGTAGTTGATTTTTAAGATGTGAAATTAAGTAATCCATAAATGATCGTGTCCTTACCACTGCAAGTGAGATCTCCTCTTTCAAATCGTCGTATTTCTCCTCTAGTCGCAGGTGTTCGGTAAGGAGGTTCTGGTAGCGAGAGCGTTCCTCGTTTAAATCGTTTTCTAGCTGCTGGGTTTCCTCCTTTAGAGCCCTCTGCATTTTCTCTATAAAACACATACATGTTAAACATCATTCACACACATTCCCAGTGAACAACCAATATTGAATTACTCAATCATCTGACTGCAGACTGACTCATGTTGTTGACACTGCAACAGGACAGGGACGAGTATGTTAGGAAAGCACACAGAAATGACAGACACTGTTTATAAAGGATTTAGATTTGTTTTTTTGAGTGTACACAAGGTATAGCAGTGTGTAAGACTGGCCGATGATTTTTTTTTCCAATATTTTTCTTATTTTATATTATCAGAATAGTATAATTTTTAGTATTAAGTTTCACACCAGCGCTATAAGACAGAAATATTAAATAGAATGTCTGATTTAAACCTCAATAGATTTGGCACAATGACGATATGCAGTAATAAAATTGTTTGTTTGAACAATTAATTTGCAACCATGACCCAAAGATGTTCACAGTAAGTTCCCATGTGACATCTTACATGCTTAAATTGTTTTAGTAAAAATGTATGTCACAGAATGATAGGTTGAAGAAGATGAGACGAGGCAGTGCAGAACTAAATGCAGCAAACTACTTTAATAAACAATATCAAAATAAAGAAACACAAAAGGTAAAAACAAGGAAGACACGTAACTGTGACACATCCAAGACAATTAACTCAGGGGCCATTTTCATATAAAAACTGAAAACTTTTTATGAGTTTTGGTCGCTTATTTACACAACAACAGCGTTTTTAGGGCATGAAAACGCAAACTTTTGAAAACGGGTTTCAAAGTACAAGTTTTTGAAAACAATACCATTATTGTCTTGTTGTATTGTGTTAGTTTAGCAAAAACATCTGCTGAAGTCTATTGCAGATGTAGATATTCAGACATGCGTCTAATCATGGTTGCAAGTGCAGTCAACTTCGTGCAGACGACTGTTCCAATATGGCGGATGGTTTATGTATAGCAGCCCACAGAAACATAATAATGACGATAATGTAGATGTATATATATCTATGACCATGACAACAAATTAACAACACAAACTAGAAACCATGATAATGGAAGGAAATACAGGAAATAAAGCAACGCAAACTAAAAGTCCATGAAAATTAAACCATATCACCAACATAATGTTACATTTTGTAGTTAAAAAGTGACGTTTATTACAATATATTGCTATACTGGTGCATATAAATGAAGATTAACATGACTAAATATTCTTCAAAAAATCAACAACAAAAAAAGTTTTTAAAATGTTTACACATACATGATCGAACAACAATGACAGATTAAAGTTTTTGCTTACCTGTCCACTGCTGGCCTTGTTCCTGGATGAGTCGGTTCAGGTCGTTTTTCTCGTTCTTCAGCAGGTGGTTTTGCTCCTTTAGTTCTGAGATCATCTGTCACAAATATTACACAAACACAATCAATCGACTGCATGCCATTTTAGTCTTTAAAAGATTATATGAAAAAAATATATATATTCGCTGTGGTTATCTGCATCATGTCACAGATGCTTGTATTGAACGGAAACATTGATTTAACTGCTGGGAAACATTCATTTACTCAACACACATCCAATATAGTATTATTGTGGCTTTGTGAATCGTTCTATTCCTCTACTGTACCATCCTAAAACTAAAACTACTTCTAACATTTGTGCTGAGCGCTAGTCTCTCTCTCTCTCTCTCTCTCTCTCTCTCTCTCTCTCTCTCACCTGTGTGAATGTACAGGTCTCTTCTCTTTCCAGGTTTAAAGCAGTGTTTCTCTAATCCCTGAATATGGAGATAAACAGGAGTATATCTTTGTCTTTAGAGGGCTCTACAATCTAGGAGGACTATCTAAAAGCAGGGTAATATGGGTAACCTGTGGGTCTAACTTGACTTTGAGGATCTATTGTGGAGAATTTGCTAATCCAACTAGAATTTGCTAATGTAATGCCACACCATCAATGAGGTTTTGTAGGAACAAATCAACACACGTCTGAGAAACAGATCAAACTAAATTATTCATTTATATTCAAGTCATACACTAATAACTTGGACACTAATGCTGCATTCACGCCGTGTCGTAATTACCGTAGTCTCAAGATGACAACATGTGACGTTATATCTGGAGCTGTTCACGTCCTCAGAATTATGCGTTTCTACGGCACCACTATCAACTTTTCATAACTCCACTTTTAGACATATAGCACACTTCCCCTCGGGGGAATCTCCACCGCCATTTTGATGTGCGTTCAACTTCGTCAAGTGGGCGAAGAAAGTATTATTTGGACAGACCCTCGACCCCTCAATTTCGTCAGAGGGAGCGAGTCTACTCATATGTACACCAGGGAGATCCATAGACCACAATGCGAACATTGTTACGGGAATATTGGGAACTGGGAACATTGAAATGAATGACACAAATGAACTGATTGGCAAAGTGAATGACCCTCAGCTTTTTGAAAAGTGCTTTGAACATCGCACTAGGACAGGCACATCACAGCTGCGCACAGCTATACAAGTGAACGTGCAGCACCTGTTCCATCTCGTCCTGGTAGGTTTTCGCCCAATCCTCGATGGCTTTCTTTTCCTTCTGTGTGTTCTTCAGGTCTTTGCGCAGTCGCTCCAGCTCCTCCAGAAGAGTTGTAACTTTGTTGGCGTTGTTTTTGGCATCCTCTTCTGCCCCTCGCAGACGGTGGACTTCCACACGCATGCGCTCAGACTCTGCAGCATGGCTGATCTCTAGACCATTCAAACGCTCGCTGAGAGAACGGTTGTCCTTGTTCTAGAGTGAAACCAAAACAGAACATCAGTTCATTCTATTTAATTACATAAGTACTATTTTGGGGGAATTTTAGTTCTTGAATCAGAGTCATTTTCCTTTAGTGAAGTTATCTTATTTATATTTTTTTTACGTCATAGCATTCTTTTGTTTAGCAGTCTTTTAGCTTTGCAAAATTCTGTTTCTTTCTAAGTTTAAATAAAAATGTTACTCCAATGTCCCAATAAAATTCCTTTTCAACATCGATTCAGACTTTTAAACTCCACTGTACAAAATCTTTAAATTGACATTGAACCTATATTGTACTTTTTTTGTCATATGATGATACATGTTCAATTAAAACCTCTAATTGTCATTAGAATCCGTACATTACATTGACAGCTACATAAACACACACTTAGACAAAAATCCTGCACTGGGAAGTCCAGATTTAAATGATGTGATCATACACAGCTAACACACCATGACTCATTCTAAAAGAACTAAAAGCAGCAAGAATCAAATGAACACTGACATCATGAAGTCAACAAGAAAGCATGCTTGTAACCCAGTTTCCTTCCATAAACTGATGTTTTTTGTTGTTTTTTTACTAAATAATGATATTCACAGGACAAAAAGGTGGGTAGAATTTGATTGGGAAAAATAGTGTCTACATAACAGCTGGTTGGATGGAAGGAAGCTAAAAAAAAAAAGAGTGAAAGTTGATTCATGGGTGGAGCAAGCTATTACATTTTATGAAACATTATGATGACAAACTTTTTTATGGAACAAAGTGCACTGATGCACAAGAAGACCAGGAACGAGCATTACGATTTCATACTGACTTATGAAAATCCTCCAGAGTTTTACACTAAACAGACAAAAGAGTTACTTTCGTTTTGCTACTCAGAAATCATATGAACTGAACTTTTAAAGGTGCAATGTGTAATAATTTTGACTATCTATTAACAGAAATGCAATATGAAATCCATAACTATGTTTTCAGTGGTGTATAAAGAACTTACTTAATAAACCGTAATGTTTTTATTACCTTAGAATGAGACATTTATATCTACCTAACCGCGGGCACCCCCTTCTATGAAGGTCGACATATTGTGACGCCATGTTTCTACCGTAGCCGACAGCAAACAAACAGCGCTACAGAGCGCGTTTCGTCACTACCTTGAAAGAGAAGCAGCAGAAAGCTAGAAGCTAGCCATAAACACCGTGAGTAGTGACTTTTTCCTTGTCAGTGGTGTAAAATATGTAGTTGGACTGTTTCATGTAACTTAGTTCTTCTCCCTCGCTGTGTTATGGCTTTGCTATGTGGGGATAAATGTGCTGGTTACGTTTGTGAGACAATCAGCTGATTACTATTATTATATTATATATTAAGACCCTTGATCCTCACCTGACTATGGCTTTGTAAACTTTATCCATGATGTGTTTTATAATGGACTGTGGTACAGAAACAGTGACAATGTTACACACTCTTGGCTTACTCTGGCTATTCTCTGCTGTCTCAGACGACGATATGTTTGTCCCGTTTTAGCCACCGTAGCTTCTTCGAAAGGGAGGGGTGAGCAGTGGGCTGAGCCCTTAGTGCAACTCGCAACCGAACCGCTAGATGCCGCTAAAAATCACACACTGCACCTTAAAATGAGGCACAATAAGCCACAGCATCTCAGTGTGAAGTGCGGTACCTGTTCGTCTATCCTGCGCTGCAACTGCATGATCTTGTTCTCCATGCCGATGTTGAGTTTCTTGAAGTGTTCGACCGAGCGCGCCTCGATCTTGAGCTTCTTGAGTTCCCACTTGGCTCGCATGCGACGGATGCAGCACTGCAGGTACACGATGGCTCTGAGCGAACGCTTGAACCACTGCCGCGCCAACCAGCCGCGCACCATCTTCTGAATGATGATGGCCTTGTGCTCACGCAGAAGCTAAACAAACACACAACAACACATGATGAACAGGAGAAAACCACACAAATATACAAAAAAGTTAAGAAAGACAGTGATCACTACAGTGACAGCGCAGTGAAATGCTCTCAAATTGCTTTTCTCTCTCACACCTTCTGCCTTTTTAATTTGCAGATATTACACATCCTGCCTCGATAATCCACTGCTGACCAACAGAGCTCTGACCAAAGGAAAATAGAGGAGTGAGAGAGAGTAAGTAATAATACAGCCACAGCTGCTGTGGTCCATCAGTGGGACAGTCCCTACACTGGAACAACCTGCTGTCTGTGAGATCACATGACCAAACACACTGGCTAAGAGACATGAGGTCATCACAACACTGTGCTACTTCATCCTCTTCCAGAGGCTTCAAAAACTTTCACCAGAGACAAGTAAGCCAGCAAAACACTAGGTTGAAGCAAAATAATTCGTCGAAAAGACCTCATGGTGAAACAAAATTGCTACTTTCTTAGTTCAATTATTTATTTATTTTTTTGTTACTGGAAGGTGCTCTTTTCAAATAGTCTAGAGTGGAACCAAACACACAAAATGTAACGGTGTTATACTCTTGGCGGCCAATTACTCATCATTCAAAATAATCTCTCAATATTTCAAAACACATTGTGGTTTATTCTCGTTTTTCTGCTGTTACAGATTACACCTGGGTGCAAAAAGTATCTACATATTTTATTTTATTTTTAATCTTATTATTGATATTTAACTTTAATTTCATATATTAGTTGTTAACTCTGTTTGTTATTATAAGCTGCAAATGCTTTGGAGATAAAAAAATACAGTTTCTTTCATAAAAAGAGAATTTATATCAAATATTTGAAAGTGGAAATTAAAACATTGGGAAAAAATGAATATTGTAAACTAAAATTGAGATTTTACATAAATTACCGTTCACAAATGTTTGGTATTAATTAATATTTTTGCATTTATTAAAGGCTGCATTTATTAAAAATGTATTGCATTTATTTATCATGCATTTACATAAAAAAGGAAAACTACAATATTGCGAAATATTTTTACAATTGAATTCATTCCTATGATGGTCGGATCAGCATCATTACGTCGTCAGAGTCACATGATCCTTTAGAAATTATTCTAATATGCTGATTCACTGCTCAAGAAACATTTCTTATTATTATCAATGTTTAAAATGGTTGAGCTGCTTAATATTTTTGTGGAAACTTTTTTCAGGACTCTATGATGAATAATAAGTTCAAATTAATGCATCCTTGCAGAGTAAAAGCACACTTCTTTCTTTATATAAAAAAGTAGTTTAATTGAAATTAAATTGGCTAATTTATTTATATTACTTCCACCTTTTTTCGTTTAATCCACATCACTTTTAACCCCATTCAGTTCCCTAGGGGTGTAGTTAGCCGCTTTCACAGGTCATGTGTCCAATGCCTGAAATAATTCACTGGTTTCTAATGTGTTAATTATAAACCACCCTGCCAACATCATATGTTACCCTGATGCATGCAAGTATAAAACCAAAGGTGCATGTAAATAAAAGTGCAATATTGACAATAGAAGAGTTAGGAGTGTATCGTTAGCAGTGTGTTTGTGAGGCTTGTATATGTGAGATTGTGTAAAAGGGTATTAGAATGTGTGGTTTCCTCCTCACCGCTTTGTACAGTTGTCTGGCCATGTAGGCCCTGAGGATGCACTGCATGGCCAGAGCAGCAGCCTGCTTGCGTTTGTAACATGTTCTCTGGACATACATGCGCTGGTACTTCTGAATGATGATTGCAGCACGTGTGCGACGCAGGAATTTTGCAAGACTGTGGGTCAGGAAGAACAACGTAGAGGTTAACACATGCAAACCTCCCCACTTAAGTACAAAAAAAAAAAAAAAAAGTTTAGAGTGCAATAGTTGGGTTCCCAGAAGTAAGAATTCCACTCATATTTTAACAATGACTTTTAAACCCTTAAAGACAGATATACTGTGAGCTCCAACGTTGTTAATTAATGGTATATGCTTTTGTTGAATTCATCAGTTCGCATTATTTGAACCTATTTTTTCAAAAATTGGTGTTTAAGACAGGAATTTCTGGTGAAAAACTACATTACCCATGATTCTAAAGAAAATTCCACCAATCAGAGTCTTGGTGAGAAAACTGCACCAAAAGATCTCTGCAGCGAACGCCCACTACCATGATGCACCGTGAATGTCTCTCTACGCTAATTGTAAATGTATGCATATTTTGCAATAAATGTAATATATATATATATATTTAATCAACATCTTTAAATCAATAGTTTTATACTTCATTTTAATTATGATGAATGCGATTCAACTACAATTATGTGATACGATTTGGCGCTTTCCCTCATTAAAGTACACAGTCTTGTGCCTTTGTCTTTAAAAAATAACTGAAATAACTAAAATAACTAAAATAATAATTGAAGATTTGTCTTCAAATCAGAGTTTATAATGTTGTCATTTTCGTTTGGTTCATAGCTGTTAACTCATAGCTTATAATTCCGGAACCATCTCCACAGTCAAAGTGAACGGGCACTGTTGCGTTCTAGAAGCTCCGGGTCATCTTATTTTGTATGATTCTGCTTTTCATAAATTTAGTCTGGCTCCGCCCACTATAAGATGAGTCCCCTCCCCCTCACCAGCGGGCCTGGTGTCCACGGACGTATCTCTGGATGGTTGTGGCAGCATGTTTCATGCGCAGGTACTTCTTGCGCGCCAGCCAGCAGCGGATGGTCTTCTGGATGCGGATGCAGGCAGCACGCAACTTATCTGCACGCAGTTTCTCCAGGTACGCAACCTGCCCCGCCCGGAAAAAAATCTTGGTCTTGCCAAACTGGTACTTATCTGGATCCTATTGAGAGGACAAAAAAAAAATGGGAGAGAGAATTAATAGACTTTTCATTAATGTTAAACTTTATCTTCAACTACATTTTCTGTAGAAAATGTGAGTATTGCCAATTCTGGGTGTTTTTCAGGGCATTGTTGCTATGGTTTTAAGTGTTTTTTTAATCAGGTCAAAAGAGTACCACACAGAGTATAAATATAGTTTTATAAGCTGAAGTGTCCTCTTCTTGTACCTGCACAAGTTTCTCCAGAACGTTCTTACAGGTCATCTTCCTGTCCGTCAAAACATCTTTTTGTATCATCAGGACACGATACCTGCTAAAGAACTCTTGATACGTCCATCTGACAAACAAAAGTAGTCGTGCAAACACAAATATACAGTCAGGAAGTGTTTGACAAAAGGGAGTTCAGTATGGTAATGTATAGATCTTCACTGTACCTAGATGGGAAACCAGCTGCGGAGATGCGTATTGTTTCCAAAACTCCACATGCACGCAGTTGCTGCACTGCCCTCTTGGGGTCAAACCTGGTAATGACAGAAATCAGATATCAGCCTAGAATCACCATCACTTCTGCTAAATCTACTGATATAAACACAGTTCAAAACGATATTTAGAATGATATCTCATGAAGAAATAATATTAGGCCTACACATTGTCTAAACTAGTGAGCTGCCAACCTAAACAGCTTTTTGGGGCATGGTTGGCACACTCCTGATATGTAGTGAAATTATGCTACCTTTTGCAGTTCTTTGAAGCACTGCAGTTAGCACATAAATGACATGCTGCAGCTTTAATATAGGTAACATTTCTTCATATAAGATGCCGGACAAGGCTTAGGGAAATTTTGTAGGTTTGGGAATCTTTATGCATCTCTCGATTCTGAGAAAAACAATCTGATTCTAGGTACAAGAAAATATAAAAAAAAAACCTCTTCAAATTCGTTAAGATATTTCCGGTACTTGCTGTGATTGTGACAAAGGCAGGGTAGGCGATTTATTCTAGAAACATTTTTTGTTATGCTGGTTAAAAGTCTTTTTCACATCCTGATAGCAATCACTAAGTTATGTTGTCTAAATGTATTTAAATTAGGGCTGTCAGTTAAACGCGTTATTAACGGCGTTAACGCAAACCCATTTTAACGGCGTTACATTTTTTTATCGCGCGATTAACGGCCTTTTTGGCCTAGCAAACTTTGTCGTTTTTTTCACATGCCTTTGCAACAGGACGCGGCATGCGCGACCAAAGCGCAAGCGAATCTAGCTAGACCGGAAACAAAACAACAGGCCGCACACACTTGTTTAGGCTTGCGAGCCGGCCAAATAGTAGGTTAACGTAGCGAGAGACGCCGAAATGGATGCCAATAAGATTCTGAATGGAAAGTTTACTTTGGTCTTGTCAATGGGACCATTTGGCAACTTTTTAAAAGTGATCTGCGTGTTTTGTCGTTGTGAACTGAGCTATCATCATCGCAGGACGTTCAGTCAGAAATACCACTTGATGGCCAAGCACACACACAGCTGATGCGAATTATCCGCCCATATATCGTCAATATCAGGACCTCGTCAGTATTTCTTTCACCCTTTTATTGACGCAGTGTTACATTGAGAGATTATTTGCTCCAAGTGAGAATGTTAGTGTGAAATTGAACACTGTAGCCTATATTATGCCAATGTTGTTTTCAATAAAAAACATTTGCACAAAGCAAGCCGATCCACTTTTCCATGTTGATAAGAGCATTAAAATGAGAAAACATAATGGGACTAAAAGAAATCAAGAGACATTTAGAATAGATAAAAATGTGCGATTAATTAAGATTAATCGCGAGTTAACTATGACATTAATGCGCATGCGAGACGAGCGCGCATGCGAGACAGAGACTGTGCTCCAAACCGCGTAGCGCGCGCAGTGAGGGAAAGCGAGCGAGAGATCTTGCGTGTGCAGAAAGCATCCTAATCTAGAACCCATGTAATCTAGAACCCATGTAATCTAGGTGGTACAGGTAAGAGCTCTTTTAAGTTGTTTATGTTCATTATAATTGCAATGTTTTGTGCTTTGAGACATGAGGAAGTTTAATGCCATCTCTCGTGATGCTTTTGTTTTCTCCCTGCTGTGTGCGTTCATGTGTTTTGAAGGAGGCGTGGCTTTGGAGACGCTTTGAAGGGAGTGGGATCGTATGCTTTCAAAGCAAGCTTGCTATTGCTAGCCTCTCCGAAAATTGCCTACCCTACCTTTATTATGTTTGCTGTTGGTTCATTTAACATCATTATTAGGGCCCAAGCCTTGAAAAGGCGAAGGCCCTATTGTTTTCCTTAGGATTATTTTTTTTTTTATTTAACAATGATTTCATTTTGTGATTATGTTCTGTATTAAAACAACTGTTATTGAGGGAAAATTAAAATACATTTTAAGTTTACATTTTGATTTTATGTGTTCATCTGTAGCACTGTAATTTAGATTAAAGTTAGATTATTTTAATGCATTAATAATACATTATTAATTTAAATACTTTTATGTCATCCTGAGGCCCACTTGCAAGTTTGCTGAGGCCCTTTAGTGGGCAATTCTTGATCGACATCTTTTTTCTCAATAATTAATGGTTTTACCAACTTTAAATATCACATTTATTTGTGCATTATTATTAAATTAGTTATAAGAAAGCTAAGCTACATGCCAATGTTAATGACTTCCACCCTTTTTTTTGCACTTAGTTGTAGTGAACACCACTTGAATCTACATATTAAAAAGCTGACAATCTATTCCGAAAGATCAGAGAATCTCAACTTATGATCACAGTATGTGTATACACAGAGAGAGAGAGAGAGAGCTGATGAAAAACTGACGTGAAGGCAAATTTGAAATCGTTGGGTTTGATGCAGCGAACGTAATGCGGCGTAGTCGCATTGAGCGTCTCCATCAGCAGATGCAGAGAGTTACGGAACTACAGAGAGAGAGAGAAAAGTAAACATTCATTCAAATTCTAACATTAACTTGCAGTATTTTTAATCTCATTCACTGTCACTGTTTATTTATACAGTATAACACAAAAATACAATTCATGTACGTAGATATTCAATAAAAGTACAAATACGAGTAGGCTTCTACCTGCAGTCCGACTGTCTTCTTGTGTTCTTTGCTAGATTGGCCAGCTTTGCTCTTGACTGGTTTGACACTGAGGCGAGTGCGTCCTCCAGTGGTAGGAGCAGCACCGGTTGGACTCGTTGCTTTCTCCTCATCATGGAACAGCTCCACCAGCAGGTCAAACTGGGAATTACAGCCAAGACAGACTTAACATCCAAGCCATGTGGGGCAGAGAGTGGTCAGATACTGTACCATCATTAGTCAAACGGACTTTTGGACATGGAAATTAAGCGAAGATCTTATTAAAAAACTGTAATTAGCTCTTACATTTTTTAATTTAAAGTCCCCCGTAGTCAATAATTGTATCCCTTAAAACTCATCTTTGATCACCAAAATGACATTAAAATGTTTTTTCCTTGAAATTTTTTGTGTCGTGCCTTAAAATAGCTTGAATGTAACTCTACACCCTAATTTAGTATATGCGGTTCTATAAATATGCAAATTAGCCCCGCCTCCACTCACTCGCACCAGCTCAGAGATCTACTCGTTGATGATCACATATTGACGTGATTGGTTACAAGCTAGTTTGTGACGTCAGAAACACCAGCGATTTCAAACCGCGTTTTTGAGACTGTGTCTTTGGTTCACTGCGGTTTTAAGGAGAAAATACTCAGCAATGGTGTTGACTTATGAATTTGCACATGGTTTGTCTTAAAGCATATTAAAAACACCACATAGACATATAAACTACATTAAAAACTTGATTTTCACCACAGGGGGACTTTGAATTAATTTGTATATGGACTCAGCTACAGATAAAGTCAGTTGTCACTCCTCTTCTGAGTGCTTAATCCGGTTCTGTCCATGGTTTACTTATTTATGGAAGTGAATCATTCTTTTAAAGGAAGAAGCTCCAAAAAGCTGTAGTTTACAGTGATTTCAGAATATCTAAGAGGAGTTGTTAGGTACAACGAAGAGCAGAGTGCCTAAAACCCATGTTTAGCTGTTTTAAAGATCACTGTAAACCATGGCTTCACGAAACTCATTGCTTTTATAAAATGGTTGATACATTTTCCTGGCAAGGTTTCATAAAATAAATGCACAACAGCAGTGATACTGATGTAATGATATCAACAGGAATATTTTACGACTGTTTCGAATGTGACTCAACCAATCATAATCAAGGATGGGAACTATCCATTTTCTAAAAGAGAATTCACTCCTGAAAACTTTAGGGAGTTACAACTGAATTTCTTAACTGAACTGTGTTAAATGGTTAGCATTGATGTTTTTGTACAGGCTTGAGACACTTGAGCATTCGTCACTTCCAATACTTAGCAGTGTGTCGTAGCCTTTGTCCACTGAACTAAATCTGTACACTCAAAGTATCACTTTTTTTAATCCAGCAAAGCAACATTAACAATTATGCATGTCAAGACAAGCAAACCGTTATACAGTGGGATATTAATGAACAGAAGGGGCCATGTACTCAGATAATGTCCCTAGGGTCTCATTTACATTGATCGCTAAGAGTTTGCGTTCTGAGGGACACTAGTGCTGGTACTAAGCAGCGTGCAGCCTAAGCAAAATAAAAGTTATTGTGGGACCAACAATTTAAACATCAAGTCCCCACACAGCAAACAAACAAACTCCAGCTTTGTGTTCTAATGTTCTGTCTGTTTAAAAAAAAAAAAAAAAAAAGTGTCTATGTATAGAACATATGGATTCCTTTGGCTGTTGCATTTTAAAAAGCGTAGTTCACCCAAAAATGAAAACTCCGTCATTATGTATTATTGTATCTAAACCTGTATGTTTTTTTTTTCTTTCCATTAAATTACCTTGATCGTGGCGGCCTGCCACAATTTCATAATGAGCCCAAAATATTTTTGCACTTTTCATAACATAAAAGATCTCTAATGTAGTGATTTGAGCCATTGCTTTGGCAAAGCATCTGTCAATCAAATGAAAAGGCTGTGGATATACTGTATATATTATCACGATTATTATATTCAAATTGTTTGGCTTCCACTATCACAACTAAAAAAAAAGAGGTTTGAGTCCACTTTAAACACAAAGAGTTTTAGGTCACTGGAAAGCTCTTAATTGAGCTCTCAATGTAGACCAGATTGAAGAGTTGGAGTTTTTCCCTCTTTTCCACCTTGTTTTTTAAATCGCTTATGAATGTCCGTGTGGCCGTGCGCGTTTTACTTTTGCTTTCAAAGTAGAGGCAAATCTGGAGCGACAATTGCTTGAATAGTGTGTTCATTACCATTATTAATGAAAACCACAACAACAAAACAGTACAATGACAAACTTAAAACGAATAGGACGAAAAAAGTGTGCAAATTAGAAGTGTTCCCTCCAGATGCTGCCACCTTCTTCAGACAACGTTTACAGATTGCCTCATTAATGTTTGCAGGTTCCCTATTAGCATTGGGCAGTGGTGGACAGTAACGAAGTAAATGTAATTCGTTACTGTACTTAAGTAGCTTTTTTGCGTATCTGTACTTTACTCAAGTATTTACATTTTGGGAGACTTTTACTTTAACTCCACTACATTTCAAAGTCAAATATCTTACTTTTTACTCAACTACATTTTCAAAATCAGTCGTTCCTTTTTATTTATGAGTGGATAAAAACGTAACTGGTCAAACGAGCCACCAATCACAGTACAGCGCGCGCGCTTTGTTTTGAACTTGGCTTGGCGGATCTCACCGCCGCGCGGTCACGTTATTCGTGTAGCTCTCAATAGTTCCAAACAAATCGCGTTGACAATGATTTTAAGCGGGACAGAGAGCAGCAGCTATTATTGCAGCAATTATCGGTAAGTATTGACGCATAATGTACATTGCTTACGTTGCCACTAAAATGACTTGCATATAATAGCTTTTTTTTCTGGGGAGTAGCCTAGCAGAAACACTGCATTAATACGTTTTTGTGTTTAATTTTGGAGGGAAATTGGCTGCTCCCATAACATAGAATATAGAATATGTATATATATATATATATATATATATATATATATAAATATATATATATGTATGTGTGTGTGTGTGTGTGTGTGTATATGTGTGCGCGCGCGTGTGTGTGTGTATATATATATATATATTTAATGGCGTTGTGCAGGTTTATGTGAATGTATCATAACATTAAGATGTTAATAATTATGACCATAGGCGCTGGAGAAAAATATATACAGTAAATACTGTAAATGTTTTATACCTTATGGGAACAGTCCCCTTCCCTCCAAAATTAAACACACAAAAAATTAATACAATTGAAATATATATATATATATATATATATATATATATATAAATATATATCAGACTAATTAATGTCATTTCATTAATAGATTGGTGTGCCAAGAGTGACATTAGTCTTCACTTAGACTGAGTTAAGCAAGAGTCTTGTGAAAAATTATAATAGGACTTTATAGCCATAAAAAAATCAAAGTACTTGGATACTTAACCCTTCAAACCCTGAGGGGGTTTATGCCCGCCTAGCACTATGTTGATATTTTGGCTTCTGGAATGGTCAATTTTCATAGCAGAGTGAAGAGAGTCATATTTCTGGATTCTATAGACTCTCAGCTACAATGTGGATGCATTTACAATACACTTCTTAAGACACTTGTATGTCTTCTGCTGTGATATATCACCAAGAAATACAAAAACAAAAGTTCAATTTTTTTGTTTTTATTATAGAAAAATATTAAACCATAGATGACTAAGGGATTTTACAACAAATATTGATTCGTCAAAGGCTTTAGAAAAAAAAATAAAAAAAAATGGGTGAAAAAATATAAAGAAACAAATGAACTATTTACATTTTTGTGACTGTAGTCACCATACTTTTTGTTTTGTTTTGAAAAACACAGCAATTATAAGAAAATGTAAAGGGAACACAAATATTAATTTTGAATTGAATATTGTCTCAATTTACCAAACACATCCAAAAACAACCTCTAGATGTCACTGTGCACTGCATTTGCACATCAGTCCATCCTGGGCGCGGGCGCGTTCAGAGTCCTGGGTTGCGCAATGATGCAATCGGCTGTTCTAAAACACACAATGTGGTAAATAAAGATTAGCTATTCATCATCATGCGTGTATTTTTCCATCCAAGTCATAGAACTTCTAACTACAATAATCTAACTATTATTACAGGAGCGTTCATCATTACGCACCGAGTATACAATGTCTTCCAAACACCCTCCTATGTAGACAAATAGTACAGGCCTTAGAATAAGGATTATTTCTGAAAAGCTACAATAAAATTTCCCTAAAAAAACATTACAATAAAATAGACAAGCAAAGTAAACGAAATAGCTTGCAAATGAAGAGGGACTAGCTGCTAGCAGCTAAGTTACATGCGGCCAAAACGCGCACATTACTTGATGGCGCACATTATTTGATTAGCCTACTGCTCCGTTATTTCTGAAAAGCTAAAATAATTTTGCTAAAAAAACTGATACAATATATATTAGAAAAGACATTATCAGCAATATTGCATTCATTACTTACTCCTCAAATGGATCGATTCCGTCCAGAACTTGATCATCTTCATCCGAATCAAATCGATCTGGATCAGATCCGACTCTCATCGCTCTCGGCAAAAATCATTTCAGCAGCTTGCTCGGCAGTGAATCCGTTTGGCCATGTTTTCTTTGAAAAGAATCTAGTACAAATACGTGTATCTCCAAATGTGTTGTGTTCAAAGACCGTTGCGAATCCCACGTGGGATTGATTCCAAACCCCTCCCCTTTTTACGTTCCTGAAAACGTCATTTTTTGTTTTTGGTCTGTGATTGGTTCACACACAGGTCTGTCATTGGTTCACACACAGGTCTGTCATTGGTTCACACACAGATCTGTCATTGGTTCACACACACACACCCACAACAGATCTTTATAACAATAGATAGGATTAAGTACAATTTCTCCGTTTTGCGGTAAAATGCTATAGATTTGCACTCAAATACGGAAGGCTTTTCATTCGCGGAAGTCAACAAAGTCAGGGTCCTTTTACGCAGACGAATGTCAGCTTTTTAATAAAAAAAAAAGTAAGTTAATACCTTGATCCATTCCGAAGTTATTAATAGATTTGTAAGGGGAGTGCATCTTGACGCTCTAGAGCGTCAAATTTGAAGGCAAATACTTTTGTACTTTTACTCAAGTGAATGTTTAAAGGCAGCACTTCTACTTTTACTTGAGTAATATTTTACCTTGAGTATCTTTACTTTTACTCAAGTACATGGTATGTGTACTTCGTCCACCACTGGCATTGGGTTTAAATCCAAAATATTGACAAATAGGTGCTTTTACATTTCGTTTTGAAACCAAATCTTCCGCCATTGTCTTGTCTTTCAGCTCGCCTCTCCCATCACGTGATAAATTCAATCTGACTTCTCCTGCGGATCTGTGCACTGCGACTCTCGTTCGGCAGACGCGTTCAGTTTTTAATTGTAGTATCTGTTCTCTAAATGAACTAAATGATTTTATTACAATAAAGAAAATCAAGCGGTGGGAAAGCTGAACACCGCGTAACACAGACTATCGCAACAAGCCTACTTTAAAATGAACAAACATTTCTTCTGCGGCGACATGCCATCAAAGTCTCACAAAAAAAATTGTGCAAAAAAACACTTTAGAGAATAATGACTAAAATCTGTTTCTCAGATAAAGCTCATATAAAGTTTAAGGATCACATCGACCACTGATATTTTTGAGCTGGTCACTATAAACTGAAAGTGAGTGAATAATGACTAAATCTTAATTTCTGGGTGAACTGTCCTTTTAAGAGCGTCAAAAATGTACTGAAAAGGATAAACAGTCCAGCTGATGTCAAAACATTTCAACTAAACAGATGTTTCATTCTGTCTGGGCAGTTGAGTTTGTTTGGATGGTGTTTGGAGGCTCTAGAGCTGAAGAGGTTTTATTTTTCGACAGAATCAATGCAGTATTGAGATTGTGCCCTGCACAGCAGAAAGCAGCAGACTGAACATGCTGATACACACACACACACACACACGCGTGCACGCATCTCTCATACGCACACACATCCAAACTATCCAATCTTAATTTTTGTATCTACTAGACAGCAGTGATATTAGAGAGATAGAGAGCTAAAGAGACAGCATGTATGCTAAATTTTACCTTCTGCAGGGGTACAGGTAGTCATGTTCACAAACAACACATAGACAACATGACACGATGAGAAAATAAGAAACAGAATTACTAAATGCAGAAAATACAGATACATCGGACAGATGTATATAATGTACTAGCTTGAACAGTAAAGCAGCTCAGACACCAGCTCTGAATAATATTATGTTGGCTTGACAACGAAATATCAAATATCATTCTAAATTTCTCCTTTCGTGATCCACGTACAAAGAATCAAACAGGTTTGGACTCACTTCAGATAATATACATCTATTAGTGCTGTCAATTGATTTAAAAATCTAACTAATTAATAATAAAAAAATCTGTAATCACAATTAATCACACCTAACATTAAAATCTGTAATGTATGGTTATATTGTAATACAGATTTTCACATTGAATATCCAAACTATTGTAGAAACAACATAAAGACGGTATATTTTAAACATTTGTTTAATGGCATCTTTATATGAATGAAGGCTAGTAACACTGATACCGATACTGCAACGGATGTCTCTATTACTGTAAATAGATTTTTTTTTGTCAGTTTCTATAGGGATAAAATGTAACTATATTCAGATTTAAAAATATAACAACTTTAGGTGAACTTAAAAAAATCTTCACATAAATTAAATTAGCTGTGCATTAAATATAGTGTGTTGTATATAGAGTAGTAATACATAGTAGTGATGATTCGGTCTCTGTCAATATCAGCTCTCTATGTTTGAATGAGAGCTGTGAGTTCATTTTCCCCCACTAAGTTTATTTTGTGCATTAGTTAAGGACAATTGTGTACTTTAATCACTGAATCTATTTTTGACAGCCCTAATATCTCTTTGTGAAAAAAATAAGCATCAAGCCCTAGAACCAATGTCAAATTTCGTCTTGACAAACAAATCCATTCAAATGATGAATGGCACAATGAATGGAGAATGATTGAAAATATTCAGAAGTTTTTAGGACTTTTAGCTGATGTCTGGCTTTATTTCTAATTTATAAGAAAATATATATGTGTACCTAGATGAAGTAAGCAAACACACACATGATATTATGAACAGATGATCAATGATATGAATGTGAAGCAAAATGAATATGGCAAAAACAGATGACCTGTGTAACATGTGAAGTGAAGGATTTGGATTATCCGCTAACAGACTGATCTGGAAAAGCACCAGAGAGCCCGAGCCTATTACTGATATGAATTGTTAATTTTAAATAATACTTGACTTAAAGAATAATTCTGTCAATCAAATTCAGTTGAGCATTAATATTTTTCCCAGGCAGTTTGGATTAGTACGGCATGTGTTTGCTCTTACCGCACACATTTACTGCCTCACGCTGAGGAGAAAAAGTGTTAGACAGCATTCAGAAACCCCCAGATACAGATGAAAATGATATGATTTTACAGAATCAAAGGGCACTTAAAAGTTCACTTAGTCAGTATAATAACTACCGAGACTTGTCCATGATTTTTCAAAATGTTATACATTTCCATGACTTTTCTAAGCCTGAAAACATAATTCCTTATTTCTTTGACTGTGGGAAGCCCTACAATATTTTAGCAGTTAGGTCAGGTCGATAAAAGCACAGAAGCTTTTGTGGCTAGTTCACTAAAAAACATAGCACAATAAGAATACCCTGGTATTATTTGATATATTATTGATAAATGCCGTCCCAGCTAACAGGGAACGTTCTCAAAACTTTGGTTCATTAATTTAAAAAGAGGATTGCCAGAACGTTAGCCAAAGTTCTTCCAGTAACGTTAATAGAATGTTTGTTCAAAGTTATCTGGTCTTTAATAATGTTGGCTTGACAACGAAATATCATTCTAAATGTCGTACCACGGCCTGTGTCTCGATTACCAAGTATGTTGGAATACCTTCCTGAAAAATCCATAGAACACACCCCAGGCCATGAAGGCACAACTGACGGGTGAGGGTTGACTTCATAACACGAGCAGGTATGCAGTAGCGTTCTGTCTGAACCGGTGTCATTAAAGAGCAGTCAGAGCTGCTGAGTCATGCACAGGCTCTTTTAGAGCTTAGAAACAGCTGTTCTTTAGATACTGTGACTCAAGATACCGTAACATGGTGAACTAAGACGGAACAAGGATATGTAAGGATCCAAACCGCTAGAAATATGAACATATACTCCCTCAGCTGTGTACATACAGTATGTTGGAACTGTGCCAACGGACTGCACTAATGCTCCTTTACCAGCAGATGGCACCGTGCCATTGACCTTCTCACACTTTAAGCTTCATTTAAGGTCGAAAATCTTGGATGAAAAGAGCCTGGCAACAGCTAACACTGGCTTTAAGGGTGGTTTTGTCTCACTATACAGGCATTCAATTAACTAAAACCTCCCAGTTTCTGGTTAATGAACGGGTACATTACAGGGACAATTTAACACTTCCTGGCCATTTTCACCTAAACATTACACCCCTTATTTATAAGCAAATAGAAGGCCTTCTGATGTAGTCATTTAAAAAGCACTCTTTCAGAGATACAGAGAACAGGTTTTCACTCACCTTACTGGCCTTCAGAACATGTATCTGCTCCTCATTTACTGTATCTTTATTCTTCTCCAGAAAACCATCACACTGATACTCCACCTGACAGATACAGAGAGACAGGGGAGGTTATCATAGGAAAGAAAATCCATGAATGAGTCTCTGAACAGTTTCTGTTTTTTTTTCTTTCTTCACAAATGTATAATTACAAATTGAAAATGTTCGACTTTTTGATGTCTTTAGATTGAAAGATTTTTGTAACGCTGTATAATAAGGTTTCACAGCGTTATTTTATTATACCTGTGATGCTATTAAATTATTTATTATATATATATATATATATTGAATGTTTTTATTTTTATATATGTATTTACTGTTTTTATTCACAAAATGTTTTGACCAACATTTTGGTCATTTTTAGTAATTTTTTAAAAATGTCTATACAGTTTTTATCAATTTTTATTTTAGCTAGGGGTGGGCAAAAAAATCGATTTTTCGATTAATTAAATGTGGTCGATTCAAAATCGATTCTCAACGGCCACGAATCGATTTACGAATCGATTTTTTCCATATTCAGGGCTCGCGGTGCTGCGTCTTCTTCTCTGCACAAGGCAAGCGTCAAGCGCTGCAGGCGTCAATACACACTCGTGTTTAGGAGTCGGGACATGATTCACTTGCACAATCGGGCCAGCATTGCATCGTAACTAACGTTTATCATTTTCACGTCTTTTTTTAAGTTTTACCAGTTTAAACATTCAAGCAATTTTAAACTATCCTGTGCTCGCGCACTTGCGCATGTTTTTCATTGCGTGCACATAAAGCCTAAATCCGCCTCACAAACAGCTCGCCAGTAACAAAAGTTCTTTTTCGTGGATTATATCGCTTTAACAGTTAAAAACACGCAAAATGATGTCAAAACTCTGGTCTTGGTGAGTAACCTCGTAAAGACAGTCGGTTATGTCTTAAATAAGCATAAAACGCGTGTGACAGACAGTATAATGAAACAGTAATGGATCCGTGCACTAGTCGTTAAAGTGAACGCAGCCATATGTGTATGTCATTAATTTTGTCGTCAAAACAACATAATATAGCATTAATTGTAAGGAATCAGAATTAATAGCCTAGCAGCTATGTATTTAATTCAGTCAGCAGGACTAAAAGACTATCCAGTGTTATTTTACATTGGATTACTTTATTCAGTTTCTGTAGTATTTCTGACCTACCCAAAAACTTTTCTTTTTATGTCTCTTTATTTGTGTCTGTAGGCCTATTCAATTGTATTTATTTGTGCTACTTTTTTCAATTTAATTCAAAGATTGAAATCAAGCTTCCATGTGTTGCATAAACTCTTAACAAAAAAATTACCCCATTGTAATTTTTGTCATTTTCAAAAAATTACATGTAATAAAAAATCATGTAAGAGATCAATGTAATAAAAAATTGTCTAAAAAATGATAACTGATATTTAGACTGAGATTTGTATTACATCTATATTCATTATAGTCGAATCGAGAATCGAAAATCGAAATCGAATCGACCTGTGAGCTTGTGAATCGAAATCGAATCAAATTTGAACATCTGAATTGATACCCAGCCCTAATTTTAGCAGACAAAAAGTTTCTAACCATCTAATTAATGAACCCTTTTCACAGATTGTGATTGTGTTCTAATGGTCAGTTTTTTGTTTCCATTTTTAAAAAAATATATATATTTCAGTATAATTTGTATTATATTACCTTTGCATCCAATTACAAAAAAATTGTGTTTCTAATACAGCAGCTGTGGGAGTGACCGTCAAATTGACTGCCGTTATAAATCTCTCTCTATTTTTTTCCTCTTTTTGAAAGTTGTGCAAACACTGTTGTGGCGTTTTTCTTTTGCTATTTGAGCAAATGGCAACATAAAAAATATATATTTAATGTAGTTTCTCATTCACCGCTATAGAAGTTTACTCTACTATGACGACTTCCGCTTCTGAGAAACCCGGAAATGTGAAAAGGGTCAATTCCTGATAGACAACATCATGTCCCGCCCTACATTTTCTCATTCGTGAAGCCATTTCACTTAGTTCTATATCACAATATGGAAGAAAAGACCATATTAATTTCTATTTCATGCCAACTGTAATAAATACTATAAATAAATAACTTCATGCTACCTGATTAAGCAATCTTAACCAATCGATTCCAAAAATATACTTGTAATTAGATTATATTATGTTTTAAAATACTAATAATCGGACTAGTTACGTTTCTTTTGATTACATGATTACGTCATTTTCACAAAATAGCAGTAAATATTTCACAATTTATTGATTCTCACTAATCCTCCTTTATCTTTTAAATTGTTTTGTGGAATTACACAAAACAGAAGCTACACATCATAACAAATAAAAGATTTAATTTTTTTTGTGTTTTACTTACAGTACAACCCCCCGGCAGTTCCTTCACAACCCCCAGTTTAGAAAACCCTGACATAAGGTAATGTTTAATGCACTACAACACACACAGTTTTTTTCCTTTGTATTTTTATATCACTACAGTACAAGATTGTCAGATTAAAATCTACGTGATAAAGACTAAGGTTTAAAGTAAGGTCAAACGTAATTTAAAAGTAATCAAAAAGTAGTCAGATTACATAAAATACAATATATTAGATTACGCTACTAACTACAGTTTTCATTATGTAATTTGTATTCAGTAACGGACTACAATATGTAAGCAATCTACCCAGCACTGATTATAACTAAGAGGTCCATTAAACCCGGGTTTATACTGCAGGATTTATAATAGTACTTTACGACTGTTGCTTGTCAGACTGTACGAACATCATCCTCGCTGTAAGCCATGTCACACTGTATGATCTCACCTGTCATTAATGTCAGACTGTACGGCAGTCAACACGCTTTAAAAAATGGACGCATGCAAGAAGACTCGTCCGGAGTTGTACATCAACAATCTGTGACACGTTAAGTGACGTGAGCTGCGTTTACAAGAGGGATATAAATGGTGGCTAGCAAACAAAGACAATCTCCAGTGTTAATTTTGCTCATGGCTTCTTTTTGAATGAAAACTGGGGGGGGGGGGGGGGAGACGATGTGTGTGGAGCAAGTGGTGGTTTATTGTTGTCCCAATAATTGCATAATCAGGTTTGGCGCTCCGATTGGTTTTTGATTTGACAGTTGTCGTAGAAGTCACACTACAGGACTGTGCGTCCAATCTTCTGGTAAAATGTGATCGCAACAGTCATTAATCTGCAGTCGGTGAACAAGTCAAACTAATGATCAAAGACTTCAGATTTTGGCCTAGGATCTGAGGACTCTTTTAGGATTCACACAATTTGTCTCAGACGGCCAAATCGTGGCCAAAATCGTACAGTGTGAAGCCGTTTTAAGTCTACGAAAGCTACAAAAGAGTAACTTCACAGAACACTTTTTTAAAAACTGGATATACATTACATGTTATATTACGTATTCTATTAAATGTATATAATTTAGAGAGTCATTTATATTAGTAATGCTGATTAGAGAATTAAGTGGAGCCTGATTTAACCTTGAGGATGTTTGCGAAAGCTACTGCTCAAACCCTAATTTGACTGTGTGTATTGAATGTCTATCACACACTCTAAATGTGGCTTATGATATCCACCCTCCTTTCTCCATGAGAGTTTCCTCACAGATATCATACACCATTTCTAAAAATGGATCCACAGCCTCATAAGCTCACGTGAAGACGTATGAGCACCCTTACGTAAAGCACACAGGAGACTTGACTCAGTTATTTTGGCATTAGCATGTTTCCAAGCTAACAGAATGCTACTCTATTAAAGGTGCTCTAAGCGATGTCACGCGTTTTTTAGGCCAAAACATTTTTTGTCACATACAGCAAACATCTCCTCACTAACCGCTGGCTGCCTGTCCCCTGAACACACTGTAAAGAAACGCGATCTCTGTAGACAGACCAGGCTCCACAAACAGCAACAAAAACAAACTGAGCTAACCCGCTCCACGAAACATGACAAACATTTCCAGCCAATCACCGACAAGAAGGACTTGGGGGCGGGGTTTGGGGGGTTAGTGCGCGGATGAGGAGGAGGGAGGGTCTAGCTAGCCTCCGTTTTGTTTGACAATACTTTAAACGTCAACAAGAAGTGACGTCACCCGACATCGCTTAGAGAACCTTTAAGATTTATTTAGAACTATCTATTCATATGTATTAGTGTCTATTGTTTAGAACTTCCTTTATATCAGAAGTGTACTTACAATGTCTTAAAATGACAGACCTGTTTCACATACAATTCATCTGTGGCCTGTTTGACAAGAGTTATTACAAACAAAGTCATCATGAAATCAAAATTGACCATTCTTATTTGTATGGAATCTTGAATTGCATTATGCAAATATTGCATTGTTATAAATTATTTATCCGTGCACCTCATTATTTTTTATGTCCCCTTATAAATTTTAATCAAAATAACTTCCCTCTTGCAGCATCATCTCTTCTCTGATAAGGTGTTTACTGGGACGAGGGCGGGACAACCTGTCACTCACATGACAGCCAATGATCCAATCAATTCCCGATGGACAAAATCAAGTCCCGCTCTTATTTTTTCTTGTTGGAGAAGCCGTTTCACTCCGATATACATCAGAATGGGGAAAAGACTATCGAAACGTCTGTTTCATGTTGACTTTAAACGTGAAATCTATTTTATTTGAGGTGGATTGTATGCACATCCAAAATGGTAATTATTAACTAAATGCTAACTAAAATGTTTGTCAGCCTGTTATTATGTGTGAATCCTGACAAAACATGATAATTTGCTTCATTATTGTATATTGCTACATACAAGATTGTGTCATCTTTTCATTCAAAAAGGCTCAACACCAGACAGAGCTCAGTCACGTCTCGGACGTTTCTGGAACGCAGTGGCACGCGGCTTATGCCAGCAGTGAATGCTTTTAATATGGTGAAATGAGCATGCACTGTTCAGATGCAGTATGTGTGAGGCAGCTCAGTAAGTGTTTTTGGAACAGAAATACAATGTATCTGTGGTCAGACACTGTATTTATGTATAAAATGAAACAGTTTATCAGAAATGCTGAACCAGCCTGAGTGTGAAGTGTGCGTGCGCACCTTGTCTGCAAAGTGCTGAATAATGAAAGCTTTATTGGACATCCGTGGCTTTTCAAAAAGTGAACACGTCTTCAAATGAGTGTTATACAGTTTCTGAGCCCAGGAGTCATCTGAACCCTTCGGCATCTAAGAGAAAGAGAGAAAAAAAGAGGCTGTACAGTATATGAAGTAAGAACTGTAGTCTCAAACAGGATTCCAATCACACAACACAGTTTTGTTGTTTGTTTTGTTTTTACAGTGATGGACACTACCGTTTAAAGGTTTAGGGTTAGTATAAAAAAAAAGACAAGAAAGGCAATCTGGCTTCCACAAAAACCATTAAACAGCACGACTGTTTTGAATATTGATAATAATAAGAAATGTTTCTTGAGCACCAAATCAGCAGATTTCTGTGACACTGAAGACTGGAGTAAAGGTTGCTGAATATTCAGGTTTGCCATCCCAGGAATAAATTACATTTGAACAGATATTTTAAATTGTAATAATATTTCACAATATTACTGTTTAATTAACCCCCTGGGGTCGGCGGCCAGCTCGCTTTTTTTCTTATCAGTGCAAAAGAGACTCAAAACACTCTGTTGATTTTGATCTTACATATAAGTGTTATACATCATTCGATCCTGTTAAGTGTCTATTATTTTTTTGTGTATACTCACAATAAAAACAAAGTGTTGTGCTTTTTGCCAAATAAAGAAAAATAAACATGATGCCATCTCTCTCAATGTGAAGTCCATTCTGAAACGTGTCCGAAAATGAACTGTAACTCAGTGAATACTCAGTCACGCAGGCATACAGGCATGAAGCCTGAATTCTCTTCTTTTAAATGAAGTAATTTATATAAAAAACAAACATTCTCAGTTTATGTAATCTGTATGAAAATAGAGAAATGTCAGTTGTTCTCATTTCAGCTCATTATAGCTCATTAAGTGCTAATGTGACCACGCCCACGGAGAGCGCACGCTATTCAAACGCAAATAAACTGACGTGTCAACGCCCACATCAGCTGGATAAAACACATCAAGTTTAATCAGACTCATGCACTTTACGACACTGAGGAATAATACTGTGCCGGTTAGTTTCACTTCGAGGAGAAACGGATCCAGCTGAGGTGGAATAGTAAGTTCTTTATTCTTAAGTGATTTGCTATAATCGCGAAATGCAGACGAAATATGAATGTTTAAACAATATTTCGTTGATTAGTTTTGGATAGATTATAACGTTTTGACTGTAAAAAAGACTACGGTCACATCAAATAAGCTTTTGTTCGCCAATTTCTGCTCATATGTTAAATATATAGTATGGGATATTTTGTCAAAAATAAAGTATATTGAATTATCAACTAAGATGTTTTTATAGTGTTTGTTCCAATATTCAAACGAATGAATCCTTAACTTTGAAATACGTATGATAAAATGTATACTTTTTACAAAGAAAGATTGCACTTGAAATAGTTAGAAATTTGTAATTGTTGTTGATTTACATGTGAAAACTTTTTAATAAAATAGCAAAAAATATATTTACAAGGTAAATATATGTGTAAGCAACATCTTAATAGATCAATATAAGCCTTGTCATCAAATTATTTATTATTGTTTTTTATTAGTGACACATTTCACACATCCAAAACTTTCTGAAAATACAGTATGAGAATTAACTGCATAGTTACTAGAAATGTTTACCTTGGTTTGCTGGTATTACATGGTTACGGCAGAAATATTAGGTTTAACCTTGCAAAGGCAGAGTTAATAAGTGATTTTATGACACTAGTCTCATATATTCCAACTTTCAAAACTGAGTGTGTTTTAATGTATATTGCGTTGCCCCATAAACCTCATAGTACAGTAAGTGACTTAGTGTAACTACAATTTTTGCTCTCTTCAAGTCAAAAATGTTTTCTGTGGTCAACAGATGCTGTTGATGAAGCTTAATTTGTATTGAATCCCAAAAAATCATAAATGTGTCACAAATACGCATCTATTAAAATCGTGTAACATTCTACATTAAAAACACGTAGTTAAACAACAATTTTGTTAAATTGAATTATTAATTTTTTGAATTTGCAAATATTTGTTTTGAAGATTGGCACATATTTACGTATCATCTTGGATTTGCGTATGGATATTTTGAAACTTTTTTCAGATATTTTAATTCACAAAGCCAAAAGTTTTTTTTTTTAATACAGCCAATCACAGTAAAACATGAAGTACATCAACATCTTAATTTACAATAAGACTGTGAAACTGTACCTTGCACTCTTCGTCCAGCAGGTCCAGGACGCCCATCTTGGCCTCAATGAGGTTGATACACGGCTGATTATCATAGAAATCAATGAGAGTCCAGGGGATCTGCTCTTTCATGTACTCCTCCTGCTCCAACTTAAACACATGCTGCACACGAGAAGACAGGAGGACAACAGGAGATACATCACAATAAATTAACAGAATAATCATCAAACATGAACTGGTGTCATGTGAAGTGTGTCAGAGGTCTCACCATGTTGAACTGTTGCTGTAGTTTCTCATTGGCATAATTAATACAGAACTGTTCAAAACTGTTGATTTCAAAAGTCTCAAACCTGGAAGAATAAAACAAAACGTCACAATTGACTTCTGTAAACTGAACCAGTGTGGTCTGTTCTCAAATGTGTGTGTGGCTGTATGAACACACACCCGTAAATGTCCAGGACTCCGATGAACGAGTGCTGCTTGACCGTAGAATGTAGCGATTTGTTCACATGGTCCACGATCCAGTTGAAGAGTTTGGCGTAGATATGTTTAGCGAGGGCATCGCGGGCATTTATGGCCTGTAGTTTGGGGACGGGCTTTATGTACGTCTCAGTTGCCGTCTTCAGCTTCTTATGACACAGCCAATGAGACATGTCTTGATACGTCACGCCCATCAATTCACAAAACACACTCAGGTGACCATTATTTGGCTGGACGGAAAACAAGAGAGAAAATTACATCATTACTTCACAATGAAACAAATTTAGGTCACACTTTATATGACGTGTCTTTAACCACTATGTACTTAAAAAAAATAGATATATTTTTTTACAATGTACTTATTATGTTCATATTGTATTGCAAAACACTTTTGCTGCTATTGAGGTGGGATACGGGTAAGGTTAGGAACAGGTTAGATGGTATGGTTGGGTTTAAAGGTGGTTTAAGGGGTAAGGAAAGGATCAACAGTGTAATTACATTTTATAAATATATATATTCATGTTTGAGAACATATATATAAATATAAACATAAATATATATTTCATGTTTGTGTTTTACACAACAAGTGCATTGCATCGAATGATTAAAGACACATTATATAAAGTGGGACCCAAATTAGTACAGTAAGAACTCTGGGGTATTTGGTTAAAAATGACCCTGTATGTGTAAAAACACCATAAATTGTAAAATCTTAAATGGATTCAATCATTTAACCATATCTCTATGATATTGTTGCAAAAAACGTAAACTGTATTATCGCACAGCTCTACAGTATACATACATATACAGTAGCTGTATGTGTGTATATATATATATATATATATATATATATATATATATAGTATATACATACACTGACATATAAAAGGATATACAGTATACTATATATAAAATTTCAACTGCCTGATTTTTTTTTATTTTGTTGCAAAATGTAACTATATTATCTTCCAGCTCTAATATGCTAAATGGGACTATAATGCATGAAGATGTTAAGATCTTATAAACATTAACAGCATGATTTTCTGTAAAGCTGCTTTGAAACAATGTGCATTGTGAAAAGCGCTAAACAAAGTTTCTGACATAAAATGCATTCCACAGTGTTATTTGGTTTCTATTTTCGCCATATATAGATAGTCCTGCCCACAGTGAAATCACATTGGTCCAAAATGCCACTTAAAAGTCAACATGAAACTCACTGGAATGATACTGCTGTCCGAGTCTCTGTCTTTCACTTCCACGTTCCCCAGGTGCAAAATCGAAGCCAGAATCCGAAACAATCCCATCTGATAGGACTCATTTACACCTGAAGAGAGACATCAACAAATGAACAATAGGAAAACAAAAACATTTCATGTCTAGATTGAATCCAACAGTGCTTGGAGTTAATGTTGCTAAGCTAATACAACGCTATAATAAGAATTTGAAAAATTAATAATTGGCTAGTCAATTTAAAAAAGAACAATTGTATTGATACTTTTGACACTGAATGAAAAACATTTACTTGTTTATAACCCACGTTTCTCTGAGCTTGCACCACAATGCATTCTGGGACTGCCCAGTCCGCTATCAGGGGCGTCATGCACCTAGTTTTCAAAGATTCTGAGTCATGAGAGTCAAGTGGTATATTATTATAGTATGCATAGTGGCTGGGTTCAAATCCTGATATAAAATCAATTTTATTTTGAAACAAGCTAAACTGCAACTGATCTCGACTCTGCAATTTCATGTATGGAAAACAGCGTTTTGACAGAAAAAACCCCAACCCCAAGTAAAAATAACTATTACGGTTTATCATAAAACTAAACTTAAGTTTTCACTGAAATATTACTTACTTTTGATATATGAACCAATGCAAGAACATACATTATTAACTCTTTATTAAAAACTATTCAGTGTTGCGTTGTCAAATTAATGTTCTGAAAATTTTTGGACAGAATCCCCCAACCACCGACACACAAAAACTCACAAAAAGGTGACACCTTGGGGGCAATAATAATAATTTTTAAAAAAAAGTATTGTAGAAGTCACAATCAAAATCCATTGGCTCAAAAATCTGAGGGGGCACATGCAGATCCTAATAAAAAAATGACAGTATAGCGCTTTTGGTGTACAGTGGTACATAGTAAAGCTCTATATAAAAGCCTCGTTCATTAATTGATTCACTCAATCACTCACTCACTCATAATCTGCGATTTACTTCCTCTATCACATCTTAACAACATGAGAAATTATTGAACTTTCAGTCTGACCTAGCAGTGTGAAGGCGTTCCTTGTGGTCGACATCTCCTTGGCATCATCTATTCCATCTATCACTGGGTTCCTGCCCTGTTTGGTGTAGTGAAAATTATCAGCCTTCCCTGTGGAGAAAGAAACACATGCACAAACTTTTATTATATCACTCAAATAAAAAATAAAAAAGCAGCAGCAGACTTTCTGAAAGATCTACCCCAAGACTGGGTTATCATCAAACCCAAATGTTGATGTAAAATAATCAATCTTATGAACCAATCATTTCTTATGTTCGATATGTTCAAATCAAGGAGATAATAGAGTTAAAATAAAGAGACAAACTGCAGCATTTATTTGGCTCAAACATATGTACGGTAAAGTGATTTCTGTGCAGGGGCTCGAATGAATTACTGAATCTATTTTACAGAATTACTGAATCTATTTTACTGAATTACTAATCTAATTTGACGGTTATTTGAAATGTACCATCTGAACGTACTGATTAACCGAAATGAACTGGACATTTCAATTTATCCTGAAGAAGAGGTCAGTGTGAGTGAAAATGTGTTTGATCGGTTTGCTGGCTTCTTCCAAAATGAGTTGGTTCCTTCTAGTGAATCAAAATCACAACTTACAACTGCATTATGTTGCAAAAAAGACTCTGGCAGGTCACATCAGTCAAGCTCGCATCAGCTGACTCTCAGCTGATCCACGTCTACCTATAGGAATACGACGCCTATCACAGCATCCCTATATAAAAGGTCCATTCAGTATTATCAGCAGCTTTATTGCTTTGCTCAGGAGCTTATTACCCTCCTCCATCCCCAGCTCCACCTCTCATCCAGACAGGACTTGACCTTCTGATATTCCTCTACGAATCAAGACTTATTTTTCTTGAATTGCTGTACATTAAATTATTGAACATTAATGATATCTGCAATACTGCTCTCCCTGCTCATACACATGCTAGGCTGCATGGATGCGCAGGGAGTTCTCGCCCAGAGCAGAACCATACAGCCAATCCAAAGTATACTACTTGTCAATCATCTTTGACGATAGTGGTCCTGACAGAACTGAGAGTTAAATCAGTGTAGTTACTGACTGGCTGGTTCATATGACAATATTTAACATTACAGTAAACTAAAATGTATTTTGTTAAATATCAAACATTCATTCGGACACACTGTGCTCATCAAAAGAGCTTTAATTATCCAGGAAACTCCCCAACCTTTAATAAATAGAAACTATTTGCATTAATAAAAACTATTCTCTTATACCCAGACCCTAAAATACAAAACCTTCTTCATAGATTTAACGAGCGATACACTGTTGCTTGGCAACAGAGACCGTATTGAGAGATTCACGCACACACAAACTCTCACATTAACGGGGCGTCAGCTGAGCAGGAAGTCAGCTGAGTAGGCAAACAGGAGGAGACAGAGCACAGAGCCAGCAGTGTGTGTGTGTGTGTGTGTGTTTCAAAGCAAGTGGGTGAAAGAAACAGATGATAGGGAGAGGTGTGTGTGGATCCAAACTACAGTAGGTCCAGTATTCATATGTGTGTGTGTGTGTGTGTGTATTTAGACCTGCACAGCCCGCCTCTCAGTAGGACATCTCTGATAGCCGCTCTCCATGCTGTGTCAACACGAACACACTCTAATCAGACACGTTACCCACAAACGCACATTCACCCATTTAAATAGGGACATGCCATAGACTTTTTAATTATGCATAATTATTTACAGAGACTTCATAACTTTTTATATAAAATTGATATACTAAGTACTATAGATAGACTAACCCTACTGTATATTCATTTTTAAATTATTATATATTTTTTTTTAGGATTTAAGCATCCTAAAAAAAACTATCTCATTCCATTCATCTCATTCCAAACCCTTAATATTTTGGTTTATCTTCAAAACACAAATTCAGATAATTATAATGAATCTTGAGAGGTTTCTGTCCCTCCATTGAAAGTCCAGATAACCAAAACTTAGAAGATCCAACAAGGTCATAAAACGAATCCATATGAATCGAGCAGTCTTGGTAAAGAGATACGGTCGCTTTATATGAAGAACACATGTAATTTAGGCATGTATTTACATCTAAATGATCAACAACACACATCTAGAGTATTACATATGGTAAACATGGAAGCTCAAACGTACGTGCATGATACACAAGAACCGGTGACATGCACAAGCGTCTGTGTTCACCCTACTATATGATGCTCTCTGTGTATAAAAGCCTAAATTAAATCTTCTCATCATATAAAGCGGCCGTATCTTTTGTCTTGGATTAAACCATACGGATATATTTAACAACATCTAAGTTTTTTACCTGGACTTTCAATGAAGGGACAGAAACCTCTCATGTTTCATAAAAAAATATCTTAATTTGTGTTTCGAAGATTAACTAAAGTCTTGTAAATGTAACTGAGTAAATGATTACAAAATTACATTTTTTGGGTTAACTATCCATTGAAGGCTGCACTATGTAACTTTAGGCCCTCTAGCAGTTAAAATAACAAAAAACTGCGGAACATTGTTTTGGATTTGGTTGATTGTGGTTTGATGGTTACGGGATACTATTTTAGAGCGGATGGACAAATAAATAATGTTTGTATGTTTATTTTGTTTTTACAACCAGTGATTCCTCTGAGGTTTTTTCCGATTTGAGTGATCCATGGTCAATTTTTATTGTTGATTGTGACAACAAACTTTCAGCTTCACGCTATAGACAGTCAAAAATGTGTACAGAAACAGCATGGTTAGCAAGATGGCTTTTTTTGCACGCTCTCATTAATAATATTTACAAAATATTATCGAAAAACAAAGTTAAATTGTGTACCTTTAATACTTATAAACATATAAGGACCCACCTACCAACAATTCCATTACTGCTAAAATACTCCCATGAATGAGTAATCCTAATCTGAATAATATTCTCATAAAGAAATTCTCCTCTTGAATGAAATATGCTGGGTTATGTTGTCTCACCGAGTTTCAGGGCTTTAAACTCCGGGAGGTGAGCAGATGCACAGAGCTGATAGAAGATATGATAATTCCTCTCTTCATCCGCCTGGAGAACAAGGAACGCAAGAAAAACAAAAATAGCATATAAGATTATTTAAGATCAACAGTTGGTTCCATCTGCAGTATTTTATTGCGTCACAAGAAACCTAAACAAAATTTGCAGGACTTAGAAAAACAGACGTTCAAACCAAATCCATTACTGCTCATGAAGCTGCATGGACTTATTTAAAGTGGCACTATTGTGCTTTTTCAAATATTACCTTTCATCCAGTGAGTAATATAGCCGTTTGTGAATGTAAAAGGTCTGCAAAGTTTCAAAGACCAAAAAGTGCACGACAAATAAAGTTATTGCCTCCTTTCTGCCGAAATGAGTCGTCAGCAAATTCCACCCTATGGTCATCATTGGCTGCCCGCGAGCAACGTCTACTTTGACCTGTCTTCAAACACTGTAGTTGTAGCTGAGGCCTGGGAGAGTTTGGTTCGTGTTGTTGACGTGTCGAGAACATGCTGTTCAAAAGGATACGGACTCGTGTTGAAATTGATACAGTAAAACTGATGCCATCGTTGCTGGTCGTATCACTGTGAATATAAGTGCTGAGGAAGCCTCCGGAGCTGAAATTCAGATATGGTAATGGCTGTTGTCTGTTGGCTGTTCATGCGCGCTGTAAGTGGTAGACCAACCACAACAGACTGGGCCATCTGACCAATCAGAGCAGAGTAGGCTCTCGGAAAGGAGGGGTTTAGAGAGACTGAATATTCGAACGAATCGTTTTCAGACACTTCAAAGTGTTTTTTGAACTTTGATGCATGTAAACCTATTGTAGATGCCTCCAAAACAAAATTAGGAACCTTTTATATACTGTAGCATAATAGGGGCACTTTAGCATGTTTGAGAGGCTTTGAAGGACAACACTTTTCTGGAGTATATGATCATAAAGTGTGTTAATTATGAAGTGTGTCGGAGTTGACTGTGGCATTCACGCTGACTTGTTATGCGATCAGATCTATTTATGAATAGGTATTCAGAGCTTTCAATTAGCACCAAGTAAACCAAATATCCATGAGCAAAATCACATTTCACTTTGGTTTTGAATTATATCTGTGATATTATGGACAGAATATGGATGGACAGAAACTCAATATATCATGCTAAATCTGTGATGACTACTGAACCATTATTTGAATGAGCTGCCCCTAAACACGTGGTAAACAATGTGAACTCTTCCTGTCTAAGTGGGAAGTACTTGGCCAGAATAAGCTGTGGATTAACTGTACCACAGGGGCCAGTTTGCATAAATATAAACTTAAGACTGTCAAGCAGTTAATTAGGGCTAATCAGTCTTACTTTTCGGATTCAAATTAGAAAAATCTACGTTTTTATGTAACTGACTTAAAGTTATGAACAGTCTTGAAGAAAAAAATTGATGACTAAATTGTAAAACTAGTCTAAGCATTTTATGCAATCGGCCACTGACATCACTATGGTTTCTGAGACCGAACATTCTTAAAGGGATAGTTCGCCCAAAAATTTAAATTGGCATTAATTACTCACCCTCATGTCGTCCCGAACCCATAAGACTTTCGTTCATCTTCCGAACACAAATTAAGATCTTTTTGATGAAATCTGAGAGATTTTTGCCAGCATACGTTTACAAAGAGATTGTAAAACAAATCCATATGGATCGAGCAGTTTAGTCTAAATTTTCTGAAGAGACTCGATCGCTTTATATGATGAACAGATTGAATTTAGGCTTTTCACATATAAACATTGATCAGCGAACTAACAGAAGCTCAACTGAACCTGCTTGACTTGCGAGAACGAACCTCTTGTGAAGCTCAAACGTGCTGCGTAACACACGAGAATGAACCTCATTGGCTCTCGCACGTCAAGTGAACATGCTTGAGCTTCCGTTTACCACAACTGATGTGTGAGTTGATGAGTGAATGAAAGCCTAAATTCAATATGTTTATCATATAAAGCGACTGAGTCTCTTCAGAAATTTTGGACTAAACCGCTCAATTCGTATGGATTCGTTTTACGATCTCTTTATGAACTTTTTGAAGCGTCAAAGTGGTAGTTGCGTAGCTGTCAATGGAGGGACAGAAATCACTCAAATTTTATAAAAAATATATAAAATATTCATTTGTGTTCCGAAGATAAACGAAAGTCTTACGGGTTTGGAACGACATGAGGGTGAGTAATTAATGGCAGACTTTTCATTTTTGGGTGAAGTATCCCTTAAAGAATAATATTCTTTGTAACTGCTATTTTCTTCTTAAATTCTAAATTGAAAATAAAGTCAAGAATAATTTCTTTCTTAAGAGTAATTTAATAACTAATATAAATCAATAACTCTCCATTAAATGCAATCTGCCTTTTTGACCCACCAAACTAGACCATCAATATATGAAAACCAATTTTTCCCCCATTAGATTATAATTTGAATTACTGGGCCAATGATCAAAAGAAAACTCTAGACAAATATCCCTTTTTAAATACAATTCTGTTTACCACCTACTACAGTTGATAATAACATTGTTAATTGTGCCAGGCAAAAAGCTCTGACTAATATATACCCATCAAAACCTAATTTATATAGAAATAAGGAGCGCTCATTCTGAAAAGAAGGCTAATTATTTAAATGAAATACATGCATGACACAATACCAGCACGGATCGCAGGTGGTTAGTGAATAAGATGCAGGTTTTTGTGATGAAATACCATACACAAAAAAACGGTGCAACCCATTACTGTCACAGTAATGCATGTTAAGCATGAACAAGCTTGCAAAATACCATTAAATTTACATACTTGCATAGAGTACATTTCTGGTCAAACTCTGCATCTGACAATCACACATACTTAACTCATCTGGAATTCCCCTAAGCACAACAGCAGTCTCTGTGAGTATGTTATATAACACTGAACAGACATGTTTAACTCCATTATCCTCATTCCTGTCCAGCTTTAATCTTTCTGAGCTGCCCAGAAGGAGAAAAGGCCTCTGAATTCCAAACATGTTTCTCACACCTGGGCCAGATGAAGTCATTTATGTAGGCCTGATCAGTTTTGGGGCCAATAATAATGGTGCAAAAAACAAACAAATTTTTTATATAAAATTATATAATATAATATAAGTTATTATCAGTTGCAGAAATGTTGGTGCATCACTATGAGGACAGCCATTTGTAGTGGTGTCCGAAAACCATAGTGGACGAGTGAACTCATTCATCCCATAATAATCCACCACAATGAGTGTACAATCGATGTATACTCAACACCTAGAGAACACGATGCACTGAATGCCATGCTGCACCTCAAGCACACTCAGTGTCTGAATTCGTTTGCTTGTTTTCATTCATTCAGTGTACTATATTAGCGGAGTAATGTAGTGAATAATGAATAAGGGGTATGGGGGACGATTTCGGATACAGCCTATATTTGCTCAATGAACAGCTTTCTTTTAAAACCTAGTGGGCTGCCTTGTTGTCTACTGTTTACATAGGCAGCTACCTTGCAAGGCAGCATCCTTAGGTGACTGACTCTTCATAACCATTTAAAAAACATTCCTCACTTGAAGCTCAACAAAGACTCGACTGACAATTTATTCCAAATAAGTGTGAAATTAGCATCTTGCTAAGCTAACAATTTTATGTGATACTCTATAGACATACAAAGCACTCAGCACACAGAAATATAAAAAAAAAGTCCATTTTAAATTTTATTTAACTGTATTTAGCAATCCCTTTCAGCACTGGCTGACATAATATTTTAATTGACATTTTCCTCGCTTCATCCGCTATTTTGGAATTCATTCATCGCAGTACATTCTGGAATTTGGCCAGATAAAGGTATCGAAGGAGGCAGCATAATATTAGCTTAGCTCACTAGGGCTTGGAGTCCTGAAAGTGCAGAAAGACATAGGAGCCTTCAAGAAATGAAAATCGTACTGTGAATTAAATCCCTGAGGTATCTGAGAGGAGCTAAAATTAGATCTGCCATAAGCAGGAAGTGCGGTGTGCTTCAGAGGGAGTGGCGGCTGCTCCTCTTTGTGTACACTGTCTTAGGCCATTTTTCAAAGCAGTTTCAATTTAGTTATAGCACAAAATACACATGAATGAACACCAGAAGGATTGTTGAAAGATCCAGTACAGCTCATGTAATCGCTCAATCAGTGTTTCAACTGTGGAAGGGTGTCGACGAAACAGCTTGTAAACAATATGTCACTTAACATTACATTTACCTCAGAAAAGCCTTTCAATGTCTATAGCTGGATAGTTGGTTGGAAAAATGAACTCTAGAAAGGAACATTTTGCTGCAATATAACATATTATTTATATTTTTACATGTTCTTTAATATTGAATGTGTGTTTGAATACCTCAGTCAAGTTTTTATGACAGCCACCGTTTAAGTATTTATATTTCAAAGCACAAAGTGGAGTAGAAACATAAATATGTCGTTAAAAAAATTATATTATAAAGTTGTTATTATTATAAAAATTAATTGTGCAATTTAAACATTTGTATACAAATCAGTTGTTAATTTTAACCTTTAATATTATCGTAATGTTGGAAAACAGCATGACTCGTATGTCCCCATCTATTCATGCAAATGTAAAAATCAAGTAGAGTATCTGATATGTCTGGGATACAATTTTTTTTTTTTTTTACATAATAAAAACCCTCAGAAAGACTCAAAAGCGCACAAACAAAGTTACTCTCTGGATCACTAAGTGTTTGATAACATCTGGTGGTAATTCTGAAATACAGCAGGCTTTTGGTTTTAAGACTACAAAGAAGAAACCACACATTAATTCAGTATTCCATTGAGGAAGAAAAAAACTGACATGGAAAAATCACATTTGAGGGCAATGAGAGAAATCAACATTTCCATCTGAGAGGCACAGATTTCAATGCTCTACCGTATTCTAGATTGATTCTTAAACATTCATATAATCATACCTTTGCTAAACGGATTTGTTTTGCTTCAGTAAAGTTCTGGGATGACCATGGCACTCTTTTAGATTATAAAGCCTTTATTATTTCATGGCTACACACAAAACAAAGCTCTCCTACGCATTTCGACGCATGCAGAACGAATGATTCAGAAATTGTCCTGGTTATGACATCACAAACATCACTACATCAACATTTGACCACCAAGATTTTTACATACTGTACTATATATCCATAAACTATTTAATTCCAGATTTTATGCCAAAGGCACTATTACAGTACTCTTTTCATCAGAAAGGTTAGCCAATCCTGACATAGGTCAAGTCTTAAAGGTACAGTTGCAAAGAGTCTGTTTCATTCTAAATGTCAAAGAGAGGGTGGAAAATGGTCTTGATAAATAATATTTTATGCTCGATAAATATTTGATTTGTGGACCTTTTGAAGATTGTGGACCTTTTGGGCCAAAAAAATATGCTGAGAAGGTTTAGAATATGGGTAGTTTAAGATATAAAGGCCAAAGTGAATCTCCAAAGTGACAGAATGTCATTCATGCTCATCCCTCACCTGAAATACGACGCGTGATTTCTCCAACAGATATGTCCTCATGTTCGCACCAATGATGTGATACCTCTTATCAAAGCCGATCTCAATGTATTTCCCAAATCGACTGCTATTGTCATTCCTGGTGGTCTTGGCGTTACCGATGGACTAGAGATGAGAACAGAAAAGACATCAGTTTGAGTGGAAGTACTGGACTGACCTGGGGGTTTCTTTGTTGTTTCAGTTAGAAGAGAACAGGGTTAAAGGTTTAAGGAGCACACAGAAAGGTTATTGATTCAAAAACAGAGTGACAGGAAGATCATGTGTGTGGGAGACTAGATCATGTGGGGGGGGGGGGGGGGGGGGGGGGGGGGTATATTAGTATAAATATTTCAAATACTTTCACACAATATTTTACAATCTCTTTTATTATAAGGCTGTAAAAAAAAAGCAAATCAATGCTCATGCAAAGGGCATGGGAGAGTCAACATTTTTTCAAGAACTGACAAATATGTAAAAGTAAGGTATTTAGGGTAAAAAGCACACTTATTGTTATGGTGTTAATTGTTCATTTTTAAAATATAGGTACACAATAGTGGTGTACTTTGTTTAGCTTTTTACTTCTGGTGATTGAATTTAGGCCTCAAAATTATTAAAAGTAGTCAATTGTGAAGGTTATCATGATGGACAAAACGTGTAAGAATCATAGTTTGGTTGGTCACAGAGCATATTTTCTGCGATAATCCAAAACCCAATGTAAAGATCCTATTGTGCTTTTGTTGAGGGAACCAGGGCGATGCTAACTTTCGGGTTGGCCTACAAAAAACATATATATATATATATATATATATATATATATATATATATATATATATATATATAATTTTACATAATTATTCCACATAATGTTTGGAACAGCCTTTATGTTTGGAATTCCCATGATGCTTTTACATGCCAAAATGTATACAGAGGAAACATAGTGATTGTGTCTGTTTTAAGTATGTTGAAGAAATGTGTGAGTTAAGGACAGCAGAGAAGGTCATGTGAGCTTTATGCTAACACTACATTTACTCTAATACACATGTGAGCACTCAAATACACACACACACATTCTCTCTCTACTGTTGTACTGAGTGAAATGAGCCCTGGGGAGATAAAGACCATGCAGTGAAGAGGAGATATAACAGTCTGAACAAGGCACTCATATTCAGCCAGTGAACAGCTTTTAGTCTCCCAGCCCAAGGGTTTTGGCTCTCTGAGATATAAATGTCTGTATTATTAAAGACCTTCATGAAAACAAACCGCCCGAGTCTCAGCACTGATTCCAGAATGACGCACTGATCTAGTGATGCAGGAAAAACTCACCTCCATGATGGGGTTGGATGCCAGAACTTTCTCCTCTACATTGGCTTCACTGGCAGAGCCGCTGACCGTGGCAAAGTAACGCATGGCGTATTTTGCTGAAACAGTTTTCCCTGCTCCAGATTCTCCACTCACAATGATGGACTGATTCCGCTCATCCCTGAATGATGCAAAAATACAAAATGAAATAAGATTTTTAAGAAAATGTGGTGTTGTCAGTGGTTACTAGTGCCACTAGGACACTCAACAATATTATTGATCTGCCCGCATTGACGCCATTATATGAGAACTGAACTGAGCTTGACGATGACATCACTTTTATATATATATAAATAAACTAAATTAATAACTTTTTTTACAACAAAAATGAACCATCACTGAACTTACTTAAGCTGGACTACGGCACTATTTTCTTCTAGATCTGCTGTACAGCCGAAAAAAACTTTGTTGCATTATTATCACTGTAAAGCTGCTTTAATACAATCTTTATTGTAAAAAGTGCTATATAAATAAAGGTGACTTGACTTGGCTAGATACCAGGGTGCTTAATACACACTAGAGTTTACACATTAAGAATGCTGAAAATCTATTGATTTGTATTGGTGTATAATGGTGTATTGCAAAGACAAAGAGGAAAAACACAAGGCTCTTAGAAAATGATGCTCCGTCATGTGGTAACTGAGAAAACTGTAGCTTTTGCTGCCACACAGGCATCCACTGATCAATGAACCTTTCAGACAGACAGCTTCAGTAGTGCACACCATTGCAGCTGCATTGAGAAGGAACAAGAGACCCAAGAAAACGAGCGAGAGAAACATAACCTTGGCTGGGCTATTTTTGGCTGGGCTGCAGTGAGCAACATCCTGACCTACAAACCTTCCCCTTAGATTGAGCAGTATAGCTCATACTAACACAGAGACATACACTATGCAAATATGAATGCTTGGCTGATGCAATGCAAGTGCAGATCCATTGTACCTAAAAGGATAGTTTTCGATAAAATGAAATATATTCTGAAAAAAGTGGTCAAAATGAAGTTCGCTTGGAGTTTTTGTTTGTGGTTCGAAACTGTCCAGATAACTTTGCGTTGGCTAGTAAACACCTTAGATCTGAAATTGGTCCATGACAAATACGTAATAGGTAGGTGTACTCTGGGGCTCCACCTTTTAATATTTTTCAGGTTCACTTCTACACTCAAGCCATCAAGGTCAGGCATGAGTAGGCTTACTAAAAACATGAACACACTTTAGTTGAAATTGAAGTTGTAATTATAATTTAAATTGTGATTTCCAAAACTGTAGAACCGGGGCTGTTTTGTGTGTGTGTGCGTGCGTGTGTAAAGCTCATGTCAAATTTACCATTGTTCTGCTACTTTTTTCCAGGGGAAGTTATTTCAATAGAAATCCACATTACTGGGAATTTGCATAAGGTTGAAAGATTTTCCCATGCAGATTTCGCATCAGCTTCAGTTGGTCATGCAAGTTCGCTGTGTTGACCAATAGAAAGCTGCTTGGTTGACATCTGTTTGAGCTTCATATATAGCTTCACTATTGATAATAAACAATGGACCTTTTTTGTCCATGAAATTCGTCTGCAATTTCAAAAATGTGATCACACCTTATTGCTATGTAACAATAAAGCCCTATATAAATAAACCTTACTTAACTTGAATGGCGTAGTGAATATCAGACAAAATATCCATTTCTCAACTGCACTTTTCTCATCATTCTTGTTGTGTGTGTGTTGTGTTATTGGCCCTGTTAACACCTGGAATTAAGATGTGTTTTGGTCGATCGGATCACAAGTGGACGATGCTAAATACAGGTGTAAATGGGGTCTAAAACGTTTTGAGCTTGTCCACTTCCGACCACTTCCAGAGGTAGTCGAAAACGCATTAGACCAGATTGCTTTCGTAGTGTAAACGCTCATCAGGTCGAATGCGTTCGAACAAACACAGAAGATGCCTACTCTCCTCCTCCAGCTTTAATGCCTAAATGTTAGGGGAATTGCGCTAGCCAGACGGGATTTAAACTGTCGGCTGAAGACCCAAGTTTGGTTAGAAGATGAAAAACAATCCAAGCACAATGTTCTTCTAACACACACACTCACCACGTTCAGCGTGGTCTAGTGGCTGTAAGATCAATAACAAAAGCTGATGCTCTCAGTAGGTTTTTCCATCGTCTCCTTTCGTGTTCATATCTAAATGGCACAAGCTTATTTGGTCCATTAGATCGAAAGATTAAAAAAAAAAAAACATACATGATAGACCCTCTCCTCGAAAAAATCCGGACAGAAGTGGTTGAAAGTGGACAAAAAAAAACTTGTGATACGGTCGACCAAAACGCATCTTAATACCAGGTGTAAACAAGGCCATTTAGAAAATAGTGTGCAGCACATACTATTCATCTAAACACTGCTCCCATCAACATGGGCGGTCATGTATTTCAAATCTGTTATTACCCCTGCCCTGAACAAAGAACAAAACAGACCTTCACCATGAGCATATCAGGGCCTTTTATTCAGGCCCTTATTCAGGTAACGATCAACCAACAACAGTTCAACTAACTTAAACTTGCTCAGCCCCACCTGGCCATCTGTTTGTAAGCCTCTTCTGCCACTGCGAAGATGTGAGGGTCCATGTCGCCCATATTCTGCCCGCTGTACGCATTAATGATGTCGGATCCATAGATGGGAAGCGTCTCATATGGGTTTATAGCGACCAACACAATACCTGGGTCAAACGATAAAAGACAATTGAGCCCAAATATTTCCAGACACATTAAATGCGTGTATGTCTTGTGTATGTGTGTGTTTACCGCAGTAAGTGTAGATGAGTTTGGAATCGGTGAAGCGCACTTTCAGGTTGTGTAACACAGCAGGCTCGTGAAGGTAGCTGAGAGCCGTCAGGTCATTTTCTCCCACCAGGATATCTGGGTTACGCAGATGTGGCAAGTTGTTCGTCTTGGGGTCCAATTTGTACTCCAATTCCTGAATTACACAATTCACAGCACAACAAATTATATGAAGTTGTGTTTTGAGGGGAACCGTCATACATCTTCTGAAGACAAACAATGGTTTCCTGTGAGGAACAGGCTGAAAAACGGACTCATTTACGTTTCAGGATATTCAAATCTGATTTGTTGGAATTGGTTGCACGCCACAGTAGAATTTGACATTTGACATCACTGAGGTATCAGGATAATACAGGCTAAAATGAATGGATAGATCACCCCAAAATGCCATCTGTCATGTGTTCACCCTCATGTCATTCCAAACCTATATGAATTTCTTTCTCCTGTGGAACATCAAAAAAGACATTCTGAAAAAATGTTGGTAATCATACAGTTTTTGGGTACCATTAACTTCCATTGTATGAAAAAAAAATATTAAGACATTTCTCTTTTTTTGTTTTTTTTTCCACAGATAAAAAAATAAAGGTTTTATTTTTTATTTTATTACTTGTACTTCTGGTACGATTTTCATTGGATGAAGACTCACACAAAACTATCAAATGACTTCAGTCTGACATACTTAATAGAGCAAAGTCACATGTTTTTGTCTTTTTTTGGAGCTAGACAATTAATAATCACTTGCATTATAAGGCAAATATCTAGGTCAACAATCTGCAAAACGTCTTTTGTGTTCCACTGAAGAAAAAAAAATATATTTTTTGAACAACATCAGGGCTGGAATAGGAAAATGCTAGAGGCGCCCACACTGAAGTTTGTAGGTGTGTTCGACTTGAAGCTAATACTGTACCACAAGAGCGTTTCGAAAGTATACGGTGCCATATGCTCTCTAATCACTCTCGCAATACTTTGATGTCATACACCGATCTGTCTGCGCAGCGCCACTTCAATTCGAACACTCCTACAAACTTCACCTGAGAGAGACCGATGGCCGAATTTATGACACATGATAAATTAGCATTAGCATGCCATAGATAGCCAAGAAGCCTTTTGGTGCCTAGGGAAGAAGAGAAAAGGAAGAAAAAGAGGATAAAGACAGAAGTAATGTATTGAATGGACATTTTATCTAATTGCATAATAGTTAGACGATAACATTGGTTATTTTGAAAAAGCTAGCTATCGAGCTAGAGATAACGTCAGGTTTTTTTACCTTAAAATAGAAACATTTTATGTAGAACTCACTTTTAAAAAGATCTACATTTCTCGGTTTCATCCATAGTGATAACATGAAAAATGTGCCATAGTTTAATAGAAGATTGCTGCCATCTACTAGAAAACAAACACTCTTAAAATTAATTTAAAAAAATAAACCATATGTCAGAGAAGTGCTCAATGAATACTGGTTTTGTGCATGAATTGGTGATGTCAATTTACACAAATTCCCATGATCGAGCGTCGTTTAAATTAACGATCAATTAATCGTTAGCCTTAATACTGCAATATGCAACTACTGTCACGGTATGTTGCCAAAGAGTCCTCACGAAGACGAAATAACAAGTGAAAAGTCTTTAATCCAAATAACTCCGGAAGATACAGGAAAAACAGGCTTGCAACACATTACCAACATGACGTTCAGACAGGACAAAGAACTCAGGAAACATGGGACTATAAATACTAAACCAAACGAGGACTAATGAACTAATTAACAAGGGACAGGTGAATGAGATGAATCAAAGAAACACATGGGAAAACTGGGTCAACTGAAAATGAGCAAAAAGAAGGTGAACACAAAGACAAAACATAACATGAAATGGACCAAAAATGGAACTGACACGGAAAAAGTAAAAAAAAGAATAAAAATTATGAAGTGCCCATGAGAGGGACTGTAGAAATTTCAAAACTAAAGTGTGACAATCGGATAAAGAAATGGTGTGACCATCGGAAAATCAAATGCTCATTGGATCACAAAAATAGGTTGAGAAGAAAAGAAGACGCATACCTAAGTATTATGCACATCTAAAAATAAGGTGCTTTTCAAGCCACATCTTCCGTCATCAACAATTAAATCACCAATAAATTATTACATACAAAATCTATTATGATTGATGTGGTTTGGAATTGGAGAAATGACCTTGAAACAAATATGATCAGAATATCTAATAATTATGCAAAATTGCATATACTGTAATTCTTACGTAATTCTAGTTATGTACATTTAAGTTAAGTGGAACTACTTTTTCAAAATGGGGAATTTCTACATTATTACTGACATCTTTCCAGAGTTTGTTGCATGTAAACAGCGCTTTACAGATCATGTAACATCAGGTGTATTCCATGCCCCTTTCTTGTACAAACTGAAATAAAAAAGAAGTGCATTCTTACAGACAGCACCTTTAAATTACTAGAATGCAACCTCGTAGTTGCGTTCTCGATTAGTAAGCGATGAAATTACCAAAAAGTATTCAATTATGTAACTGATAAGTCATGTGTTAGCTGGGAAGGATTTGCATGCAGGTATGATGTTCATTATATTTATCAGGATCAGTGTCACTGTCCATATATTTTATTAACAGTTCAGTTCATGTTAGTATTGTTTTTACCATGGTAACTGTAGTCTCTGTCACCTTAAAAACCTTTTCAACATTATTTTCTTTATTTTTTGATGACAAATACTAACTAAGACTAGTTTGAGACATCTATTTATTAGCATTACTATTTATTCATCAGTGTTATTGATATTCTTACAATTTATGTGTGTTAGGTAAAGTGGGACGGTGTGTGAATCAACCATTTTTGAGAAATAAATTAGCTTGATTCAAATTCCTACAAATTTGGGTAGTGGTTTAATGACCATATAGGAAAATGTGGGTCCCATGGCCAAACCAATTGAGAAGCAAAATGGTTAATGGTTAATGATCTGGGCTGCTAACACAAAGGTTGTAGGTTCAATCCCTTGGACAAATCCCAAGAAAATTAAAGTGCTCCAGTAAATCCATTGTACGGTGAGTAATGTTCATACAAATAATCTGATGAGGCTTATAAAAACTCATTACTCAAATATACACACACTGACCTTTCCATCCTCTAGCTGTAGTTGCAGTACTCCGTCTCCTTGTCTGTAGTCCTTGGTGAGCTCTGCTGACCTCCACACTTCCTCTACATCCGGGATCCAGACCCGGGCATACTGTACAGACAAAATTATCAGTTAATATCACTCGGCAACACAGTGTTCCTTCAGTATTGCTCTTTATCTGGTTGTTTTAACACACATATTTGAAAGCATTGTGATTCATTATAAGAGCAAGTCAATTCTGTCAGTTGATGCAGAAAAAACTGTGAAAAACAGATTAAAACATTGAATCACATGACACACAGGAACTCAAAAGCAGGCAAAAGAGATCAAGAACCAGCAGCATTACATCATGCAATTCTGCTATTTTTAAAGGTTCCCAACTTTCTGCACATCACCTCATTTCTTAAAGAGTCTGAAAACGTTCATTCGAAGATTCAGTCTCTCTAAACCCCTCCTTTCCACGAGCCTACTCTGCTCTGATTGGTCAAATGGCCCAGTCTGTTGTGATTGGTCCACCGCTTAAAGCGCTTGATGGAATTTGTCAGTCCTTTTACATTTACAAACATCTATACACTGCAAAAAATGCTTTTGTTACTAAGTATTTTTGTCTTGTTTCAAGTCCAAAATCTAAAAATATCAAGATGCATTTACCAGATAAGTAAAATTACTTAATATACTGTATTAGCTATGTCTCATTTTCTGGAAGTGAGTTATTGCTAAGAAAAACCATCTTAATTCAAACAAAAACAAGACATTGGCAGATAATTTAGCTTGTTTTAAGCAAAAACTCACTAATTTAGATTTTTCCCCAAGAAACATAATCTTAAACCATTTTACTTGTCTAGTAAATTCATCTTGATTTAAGAATCTTTCGATATTTGGACTGGAAACAAGACAAAAAATACTAAGTAAGAAAAGCTTTTTTGCAGTGTATTACACGCAGCATGAAAGGTAATATTCGATAAAGCATAATGGGGCACTTTAAAGGTGCACTATGCAGGAATTCCGTTTTTGTCAAACAGCGACCCCTAGAGTTGCTGTGGAGTACTTGTACTGTCGTAAATAGCATTCACGCAGAGATGGCTCTGCACTCACGGCCGGATCCCCTCCCCCTGTCCACCGGTACCTGTTCAGTAGGATGGAAGCTGTAACGAGTTGAAATAAGGTGTGGCCCCTTTAAGAGCTGCGCGCGCCCTGTTTAACTGTCGGCAGTCTGTATTGTATGTGCGCCTCGAACACCACATGTATACGGCGCCGGGTTATTTCTGTTTGATGCTTATTTTATCAGAATTTTATCAGATCTTTTTTGCCGTAAAGCAATTCGTTACATCGCGAGACCTGATATCACGCGACACTTCCCGATGCTGCGGCCGGCGGCACGCCGGCTCAAAGTTGCAAGTGTGTTTTCTCCGCTCACATGCGATAGGGGGGTGCGAAACGACAGAGACTATTTATATAGAGACATGCCACTTCATCAATCCTTAATACAACTATATGGGGAAAACCCGTAACACCAAAGATGGCGGTTGTATGCACATGTCCCGCCCCTCCCGCTGGAAAGCCAATCGTCTGCTTTTAACAGTCAAGCCGGGAAACATTTAAGCCTATCGTCTGGTTCCACTGACGCATGCGCACAGTTGAGGTTTGCGACAGCGCAAAATACGTTACTGTTTGAAAAGGCGGCAGATTTGATATGCAGTGTATGTGTGAGTTGTGTAAATATCAGACATCAGAAGTCTCCCGCAGATTGATAGTGGCTCCCTGATGCCCGCAAATTAGTTCAAATCTCCCGGAATCTAGAGCGAGCGAGCAAGAGCTTGCACATACTGTGCTTCAAACTGTGTAGCGCACGCACGACCGAGGGAGAGAACCCTTGCGCATGCGTAGTAAAAGTATAACCTGTGGGGAAAAAGGCGTTTTAAACCTTATTTTGGGGCAAAGTCATCAAACTTTTTCAGCGATTTTTATCATAATTTACTGCTGTTTCTATACATGCAGTTTTTATGTCCCGGTGACCAGTGAAACTGCAGTTCTGACTCTCTGCCCATTCATTTAGATAGGAGCCTGGTCTTGTTAGTCCGAAATAGCTGCCCAGAGGCGTTGCCAAGATGGCGGCCGAGTGGCATGACTTGCCTAAAAGGACTTTGGAAACGACCACCATTCAACCCGAAAAGAGTAATATAACCATTCCAACGACTCCGAAGCTGTTCGGTTGAGGTAAAAAACCTGCATAGTTCACCTTTAACATAAATTACAATTTTTAAAGAATCATGTCATGCCATACAACATAATCCATGCAGTGCTGAATGTTTTTTTATTATTATTAATGTTTTTTTTTATATACTTATAGCTGGCTTATAATTTGCATCAGCTGTCATCCTGCCTGATCTGCCTCATCACTAAATCATAATTACAACCGTAATAATACAGACAGCATGAATGCAGTCATGACAACAGTAGACAAACAGCAGTTCATCTGATTCCGAGAGAACAACCAGAACCAACCAATAATCCTGATTATACATGAATGACTGACCCTATAAACATGAAGACAGAAACAAACAACGAAACTAAAGAAAAGAACGTAGTTAAAATGAGCACATTTATGACAACTAGCTGCACACTAAGTTTAGGCCTCCAGACTGTGGTCCATTATCCATAATATTACTAAAGAAAATGATACAATATTGATACAAATGCCTTTAAAGCTGACACAAAATATAGCCTAAAGAGAATAAGTAAGCATGGATGATCTATTTCAAACAATTCTGGCTCCTCCATGTTTCTGAGTCAGTGTGTGTTTTAAGCGTTTCAGAAAGCAGCCTGACCGTGTCAGCAGCGGTTACGTCAGAGTTAGTCACGCGGGCCAGATGGGAATAGTCCACTCCAGGTTTCCACACCATCATTATAACTCTTTCGTGTATGAGCCTCACACAGACACACTGCCCTACACCTCAGAAGACTGCTCATGCATTTTTAACATGGAGTGATATTAACTTCAAAAGTACCAATACTAGTGAAATTTCACAATACTAGCCTACAGAAAAAAAAAAAAGTATAAACATTATCCTTTAAATAAATTAACAAATTAAAAAATAAAATAGAAGTATTTCTCAATTAAGCATTATGCTTTTATTCTGCTTCCAGTTTGTTTTTGATTTAATTCAAATAAATTAAAGGGATAGTTCACCCAAAAATAAATATTCTGTCATTAATTTCTCATCCTGTCTGTCATAGACTTTCATTCATCTTCAGAAACGAAGATCTTTTTTAATGAAATCTGAGAGCTTTCTGTCCCTCCATTGACAGCTACACAACTACGACTTTGACGCTTCAAAAAGTTCATAAAGAGATCGTAAAACGAATCCATATGAATTGAGAGGTTTAGTCCAAATTTTCTGAAGAGATTCGATCGCTTTATATGATAAACAGAATTAATTTAGGCTTTTATTCACATTTAAACATTGATCAGCAAACATAAACAGAAGCTCAACCAAACCTGTTTGATGCGAGAGAACAAACCTCTTGCGGAAGCTCTAACGTGCTGCACAACATACAAGAATGCACCTCATTGGTTCAAATGTAATGCGCAACACACGAGAATGAACCTCATTGGTTTATATGTGCTGCGTAACACACGAGAATGAACCTCATTAGTTCTTAGGTCAACCGAACATGCTTGAGCTTGTTGATGAATGTTTAGCCTAGATGTGAATAAAGGCCTAAATGTTTGTGCATAGAGAGTTGTATGTATGATAATTAATGGTCGACCAATATTGATTTTTTGATGGCTGGTGCCAATATCTTATAGAGCAAAGTATTATACCTAATATTTAATATGATTAATTTAGTGAAAATTAAAATGCCATATGGCCAACTGGATATAGCACAGTATAGTTTGAAATCAAGGGTTTAAAGTTTGTCAATTGTGTGTGTGTCCAGTGGCTTTTGAACTCTCCTCTCCGCATTCAATCCGCATATAGGCTACTTACACACGGAATACAAGCGTTCATGCAGTCTACACATGCACACTTCACAAGATGGATTCGACTTAGTCTGCAAGGTTTGTGAAATCCAATGTTTATTAGATATTCAAAGATTTGAATATAAATCTGTTTTTTGCTAAATGCTGACTGTAGATTAGATAGTGTTATATTGTTTGCCTTTCTATTACTAATAATATAAAAGCAGACACTATAATAATAACGTATAGAAGTTGCTGAACAGAGAAGATGGAGAATGGAGCGCTGTGTGCTCAGTTGCTGGCGTTCTCAGCGATGTCAAAATAAAAGTCCCACTTCCAACACATCGACCAAACAGAAAAACGTATCGGCTGATGGCGATATTTAAAAAAATGCCAATCAGTTGTCCACTCCACCACTAATAACAATTATACATAACATACGGTTCAGAAACAATACGCAAGATGCAGGGACTTGTGCGTTTGTTTAACCTGAGTCTCTGGAGAAGACCATCCCAGAACTGAGCTCCTAGCAACAGAGAGACAGGAACAAGAGGAGAGAGGATAAAAATAGCATCTCAACACGATCACACACACACACGGTCACTACACACGACACAACTTGCTCCTCTCTCCCACTTGGTCACATTCACACTCAATGACGATTAGCCTATACCCATAATGCCAGAAAATTGAGGATTAGAAGACAATGTGAAAATCAGTAAGTGTGGTTGTTGCAATACATCTGAGAAAACATGATAATCCTCATGTGACACAACCACATGATTCAGCAGACAGAGACAGACATACACGCACACACACACCTGACCCAGCAACTAATGAAAGGGCATCTGTAATGTGACATAATACATGAACTTGTGGCATGTTCAGCACACACACACTCATATGAAATGATGCATCTAGAAGGTTTTATTATAGAAATATTTAATGCTCAGAGGCCTCATACACACAGCTAGGTTTTGGGATTGAAAACTGCATTTAAACGCGTGAGTGAAAAGTTATCATTTTGTTTTAACCAGTCACTCACAAAAAAATGTTGAGTTATAACTACAGTAATGTCTTGACATCTCATGTCTTTAAAGGGGCCATATGATGGTTCTAAAAAGAACATTATTTTGTGTATTTGGTT